TCGATTCGGAAAATAAGCTGCATTGCTCAGTGGGCCTTACCTCGTAAAATACAAATAGTTGAGTTTTATTCAGCTTGGTAAATATAAAAAAAAATAAAAACCACTTTGATTTGGATATAGCCCTGTGGTAGCAACTGCCAGAATATAACTATGTCAGTTCACAGGGCCATGCTTCAAGTATCACCTCTGGTAGTTTTCAAAGTAGCCCAGCGTCCTGGGTCCTCTTTGGCTTCCTCGGAGGCGCATGCTCAACAGCTGATCGAATGTTCCCTCACTGGGGTATGGCCACTGATGAAGTATAACGCGGCGATTGGAAATGCCAGTGGAGGCAATGAAACACATCGAGGCCACTGGCAGCCGAGGTTAAGTGGTAGCACAATGCCCAGGAGCTGGCAAAAGAACGATTTGGCACTCACAAAACGCAATCGCGATGAACTGCATACTACATGGCTTTACATAGTTCATTCGAGAGGCATATAATAAACTTACATTTTGATAATACCGCTTCAGCGAGCTTTATATAAACAAAACATAAAAAATAAAGGGTACTTTATATTCGCTGGCAAGCTTAATTATTATGCAACAGTTTAAGCCAACAGGCCTGCCAGGAGAGTATTCAGGCAGTGACGTAGGGATGATTTCACCCTCATCAGAAGTCATCACCTTAAATCGCTATGCGATGCTCACCTTGGCATTTTTTGCTAGGGTGAGGGATAACTTGCCGATGAGCCCCAATGAGAGTGAAACGTATCGAGACCCGCCACCGTAGAGCGAACTGCACGATACTCTTACTGTCCGATGTATCATTATTGTCCACAAGCGACGTGGCATATTTTTGTAATCGTCGCTTACGACGACGGGCTACCAAGCAGAAGATAAAATATCATCAAAATAAAAAATAAAGCATCTCCGTACAGTCTCAAGCGGCCACACAACCCTATCTGTGAAGAACGTCACTGAAATATTGAGATAAACTTGCCAGCGAGTCAAACGTCTTACCCTTTGCAATTTCAAAAATATATATTTGTCTTCTAAAGAGTAAAATTACACACGGAATGCGGCGTACGATTTACAAGACACGCGTAACACTGATTCATCCAACGCCTGTGGGCTGCTGCTGCTGCTGCAGTGCTGCAGAGTCACCGGTTGGCTTTGTAAATGTACTCTTTTTTTATCTGATAATCTTCTCGAATAAAGGTTGTTTTGAAATTCTGAAGAGTGGATAAAAAACATATATATCCCTTCCAAAAAAACAAGTATTATACTCACAAACAGGATAACATTGTCTACATTCATCTAAACTTTGCCGAATCAATGCTTTCAGGTTACAGTGAATGGGATTTGAGTTGAAATAAGCCACATGTGATGGATTACATCCAATGACAGCTCGGATCATCCCTCTGCTATGTCACCTATTATATTTACAGGAACTCCTCTACTTACGGACAAGTTAGGTTCCAGAGGTCTGCTCGTAAGTCGATTGGTTTCCTCCTGTCGTTTCCAAACATGTTGTACGGCATGTACACTAAACAGGAGGAATGGCTTTAAAAGTTGTATAATCTCCTTGTAGATGTAGATGCCACTGGTTCTTCGTGTTATGCAGATGTAGATGCCAGCACTGCCATCTATTGCGCGGCGATTGAACTTACGACTGGCTACTGGACACACGGACAGGTTTGCTCGTATCTCTTGAAAGTTCGTAAGTCGAATCTTCGTAAATAGAGGAATGCCTGTATATATAGATGCTTAGGCAGCTATTGACGATCGTGTTGACTTTTTGTTATTGGCTGCCATATTGGCTGAGCGAATGATGTGGCCGCTGGCTGCCTGTTCTCACTCGTGAGCGCTGTCCAGATTATTTCAAATATAGTTTTTTGTAACTAAGATATTTTCTTCTTCTTCAGGACAAAGAGGGCAATAACGAGTGAGCGTTCAGCAGGGTAGCGCTAAGAGCGGGGTAGCGTTAAGAGAGGTCTGCCTGTTCTAGGTGGCGCGTACATATATAAAGATATATAACGGTATACAGAGTTTAAATGAGCCGAATATGTATACAGCACAATTGAATTGAAATACTCTATGTTTTATAAAGCACCTGAATAACCTGGCCATATTGCCACATAACCCGGGCTTCAACTCGACAATTATTATGACGGTGCGCCTGCCTGTAGTTATGCAGGTACAGGGGGAAGCATGGGCATGGGTTCGCCACTCTCTCCAGAGCATTTTCGCGTTTTCAATTGTGTTCATTGAAGTTTGCTTCGTTTGTATATCGCCTACGTGGCAATCGCTTCAGCACGTTGCATGCGGGCTGCAATATCTTCCTTAGTCAATTAAAAATAAACCAATTGGTGATGCTGATGCTGCGATGGCAGTGGTGCACAAGCACAATAACAAAAACAAACTCACCACGTCCGTCAAGAACACTTCACAAGCACACTCAGATTCGTGGTGCGAATAAAGGGCCATCACCAAAAACGCCGTCTCTTATTTTTAAGGCCACAGTCTTATTGACGACAGTGCTGAGTTTTTGCTGTTATCTCAATTAACCCCAGCACGGGGGGCAATTCTATAAATAATAAATAACGGTTATTTGATGACTATTACTATGCTTGTTTACCCAGGAAAGCCTCACCGACTCTCATCGATTGTTTGGTGTTGCAGTAGGTGGGTGACCATTGCATGCGTAATCGCCAACCGGGTTTCTTTGGCGGGTACTTTTTCATATTTGGCAAATGTGGACCGCGATAGCGGCAAGCAACCTGCCCGCTTGTGTGAATGGCGTCCCGGTGTCTATAACGACGACGTCGATCTCTCGCACCTCCCTGCTCTTTGGCTGCGTGCGATTGTCATTCTCGGTGTGGCTATCCCAGCACCTCTGCTGTGGAGCTGTAGGCATGGATCGTCGCTCTTTATGGCTTCGGCTCAGGGCACCCTGACGCTGCTGCTGTTGCTCCACAAAGGCCGGAGTTCAAACTGCGCAAGGTTATCGCTGTTGTGCCGCCGTACAGCTCTCGGATGTATCTTTGGGGTTGTACCGCGTTTTGTCCGACGTTTCGCTCCACACGCTTCTTCAGGAAGCTCCCAGCACGTGGGGCGAAACGTCGGACATCGTGACGCACAACACAAGGCCGTACCGCACCGAATACACATCGGAGAGCTGTAACGCCTGCGCGGTCTCGACATTTGACCGCAAACATCACCCGTCAGCGGCCGTAAGAATGCCTCCATAACATTCTTGAACTATTGGCATGATTGTCACGATCAGTGGCTCAATGCAGCGATCCATGTCGCAGTGCACGCATGTCTACGCGTACACACGCATGAGTGTCTGAGTATGCATGTAGCCAGGCGGCGGTGGTGCCTACGCACGTGGCTTGTAATCCAGCACCGGTGGGAGCAGCGAGAGAGTATTTGGTTGCTAGAATTTTCCACGTGATAAGCCACTTCGTTGAGCTATCATTTGTCGCTTCTTAAAATGAGCTACATAGCTCAGTGGGCCTCGCCTGGTCAAATAAAAAGTTTAGTTTTTTTAAATATAATCTGTCCCTTCTTTGCTCCCTTGCACACAAGGGGGTTTTCTTCAGATGCTCCAGTTTCCTCCAATATGTATGAACTCTCGCTGATTGGCTGGAAACATCTTAATATATAGAGCACTGCAGAGCTTGGTCTATTGTTGGTACCAGCTCACTGCTTCGGCTGTTGCCTTCACACTCGGTTCATCAGCGAATGTGGGATGCAATTGCAATGAACGACCACGCTGTATATAAAACTAAACATAACATTTTCGTAATTATGTTGCATGCGTGTGTACACGTGCTCATGCGTATGCCTATACACGTGCGTATTCATTAGTAGGTGTGTGCGTGAGCACGTGGGCACGCGCGTGTCGCGACATCGCGAGCTGCGGCTAAGCTCGGCCCCAGGCGATTCTCCCCGACAACAAACAAAACAACGACATAAACGAAAACCGTAACGGCCACATGCGGATGACGACGGCGACGACGACAGTGGTGACTGGAGTGGTAACGGTGGGTTTGCATCCAGAGGCATCCCACGTCCTCCTCGGCGTTGGGGAGACAACTCCTGCTGGTGTCCACGCACGTCGGCTTGCGGGAGCGGACGAACTGACGCCTCCAGGATTTGGGGGCGAGCGGGCGGACAAAGCTGCCCCGTACGGTGGCGGTGGTGGCGGTGGCGGTGCTTCCACCGGTACCCACACGGCCGTGCGTGCGCCGTGAGCTCGCCACTCCCCCAGCGCCGTGCATCGTGAAACGGGCAGCAGCAGCAGCAGCTGGGAACGATCTCTCGGAACGTTGTCGAGGCTCAACCTCCAAACGGAATGGCTCATTTACCATGGCACCTCCTCGGCCTCGTCGATGGCATCAAAACCCCCCACCAAACCCCCCCCCGTCCCGCCCCCCCCCCCCATTTTGTGACAGACAGCGTCTGACAGCCGCCACATTTTGGTCAGCCTGGCACACAGCACACACTTTACTTGCTTTGCAGTCCAAACGAGCTCAACGACAAGACGATGTAACATAATTTAGGAGATTCTGCCGAGACAAGGTTTAAGCCCTGTGGCGTCATTGGGGTGCGTGGGGGGACTGGGAGGGCGTGGAGGGGTGGGGTGGTGGGGTAGGGGGGCTGGGGGCTGATCATCCCCAAGCTGGAGGCCCAGCCCCCTCCCCCCCCTTCTATATTCTTAGTCAAGTCAAAAAAACGTCGGTAAAATATTTAGTACCAGTAGCGGTTTTTCCTTCAAACGTTTCCCCGGGTTTGGCGAAATCCCATAACCATGAACAGCCCCTACCCCATCCACACACGGGCGGCGGGGTGAGACAGCCCGAGGTAGAATGCACGACAGACGAAAGCCGATCCTACCGTGACTCCCGCTGGCTCACGTTTGCTTAACATCGACGGTGCCGTGCCCCCCCCCCCGACCTCTCTAGTTTTTACATTGACCCCTCCCCCAAACCCAGCCACCACTGCAGCGAATCCTCCGGTGGCGGCGGAGGCGACCGAGCCGCGTGCGACGAACGAGAGAGAGGGGGGGGGGGAACCGGCGAGTCTGCCCGTACGCGTGGGTGGGCGGGCGGGCGGGCTAATGGCGTCGTCCCGGCTAGAGGTTCTTCATGCACACCTGGCAGCGGCTGACGCGGGTGCGCGGCTGCCCGGCCTTGAGCGTCTCTGGGCGCGGCGCCTCGGCGAACTGCTCGGCCTCCTCCAGGGCCGTGAGCCAGAAGCTGTACTTGTTGGCGAAGAAGTGGCAGGTGCCGCGGGCGCCGTTGCACTCGATGAAGGGGGTGGCGCGGAAGTCCTCGAGGCACGAGCCCGGAGACGCCAGCGACTGCCCGCCGCCCTCCGCGCCCGCGGCCGTGTGCTGTTGGAGGGGGCGGGGGGGGGGGGGTACACGTGGGCAAAGTGGGATTTGAGCAGAGGCAGGCACGAATGGACACGCGTGGACGATTTTTCAGACGATCGAGAGCAGGCTCGGGCCACTAGAAAACCCGCCGATGGAATAAAATGCAAAATATGCAGCCAACGTCGAGGCCGGTTAAAGATGAGTGGCTCGAAACCGGCAATCCGAGGGCACGTTATTGCATTTGGTGCGTCCGAGGCAGGCGCCGTATTGGTCAAACAGGACGAAAGATTCGCGTTACAATGGAAGGGCAGCAGAAATGTAGTGCATACTCACGCAGAGTGGCGTCTGCTGTGGCGGACAGTGTGCACAATCAATCACAAGCTCTTGTGTTGCGCCCGAAACGTCGTGATTTATTTTATTTTCTACCTACGTGACTTTACTGAAAGAACCAAAGAGTATGGATTCCTGCAGTCACGAAAGCTTCGAATCAAAATCAATTCGCAAACCAAACGTTCTGTAATTCGCCCACCATACTGCAGGTAAATTCCTTCCCGACAGTCTCGTTTCCCAAGTCCCTTTAATCGTTGCTCAATTCGAGAAGCTCCAAGCGATTAAAACCCAGAGAAAGCAACGTGAGCAGAGGAAGGTAGCGGGAGAGGAGGCAGCAGCAATACCGACAATCAAAGCGTTCGGAGGCTGCTACCAGGCAAGCAGCAACGAAGGGAGGAATGGGAGAGTGTGGGGTAAGACTTTTGCCCTGCAGTGGGAAGTTATAGGCCGACACCAACAACAAGAGCATTACAGAATCAGAATATTTATTTATACTGGAGGAATCCGATGAAGCTATAAAGCTCTTTCTCAGAGATGTCCAGTAGGGGTGGGTAACAGCGTTACAACAGCATCAACCGTGCTGTTAAGTTTCTGGCCACTGGGCATTTTGGAACTTTGGGCCTGTCCATAGCAACCGTTACACAAACGAACACACATCAACGACGACGAAAAAGCCACACTCCGACTCGCGCCCGTAAACACGCAACGCCGGGCCAACTTTGACGTCGGGCCAACGTCCACCAACGTTGATGCCCCAAACCTTCCACGTTCACCGGGCCCCCCAATTCCCACCGCCTCTCTCTCACCATGAGGAAGGAGTAGCCGATCCAGAGGCTGCGGTATCCCACGGGGCACGCCGGGATGCTCACGTCCTGGCTGTGCACAGGCGATGGCCTGCGCCGGAGCCTCGCACACCGCGCAGCGGCTGACGTACGGCCGGATGTCGTCGTCGGCCACGGGCATCATGGGGATGGGCGCCGTCGTGGAGAGCCAGTAGGACTTGTCGTTACGCGAGGCATAGTTGCACACCTCGTTGATGTTGCAGTAGACGAAGGGCATGGTGCTGAAGCGCGGCAGGCAGGAGCCGGCCAGCCCTGGTGTGTGGGGGGGGGTTGCGGTAGCAGGGTCAGGCGAAACGTTGGGGCTCGTTGGTAGTGAGGGTTCGACGGCGCGGCGCATGGGACGTAACGTGGCATTGCGTGGTACATCTCGCTTCTCTCTCTAAATGCCAGCAATACAACATGATTCATATTACCGGAAAATAATGTAGATATATTTTACGCAGCTATAAGGTTTTTATGGGGGGGGGGGGGGGTTATCTTAGGGTTTGCATAGTTTAATCAGGGTAGTTTACCTAACTTAATTTTGTTTAATTAAATATCATCATGTGTCAAATATGAATTAATGTCCAAAACAAAAGGGATCAACTTTGTCATTATTTCTGGCTCAACCTGCAGTCCCGCAGACCACCTGAAGGACCGTCACGGACCACTGGTGGTCAAGGGACGACACTTTGAGAGCCACTGTTCTAGTCTATCACGCTGGTACGTCACATGGCACGGTGGACCTCCATTCGGCGGAATGTCGCTCATTCTCCTCCACTGCCCCCCATGGCTCTGGAACTCCCTTGCCCCAGCCACCAGCGCTGCCGGTTCCCTGCCCCCCCCCCTCCCCATCCACAGTTTCTGCCTGCGACTGACCGCCTCTTTCTCCGGAGAATAAATATTCCCAGAATCACCATCGCGCAGCGTGGTTCACTATCCGCCAGGCCCAACAATCGACAATGAGTCATTCGCACGTGCAGCCACGTGAGAATGTGCGCACTCCGTACACCAATACAGAGATCCCCCGTATCACCTCACAGACTGTTGGGGCAAGTGCTGTTAGTCAGCACCTATGAATTTTAGCACAGCGCAAGATGGGGTGGTGTGATAAGCACCGTGCCTGGGCTACCCTTGTTTCGCCAAGTACTGTTTTTTAGACACCCCGCTAGATACTAATTTTTAAGTTGAATGGACGTAGGGGACACCCAGGCCCGGTTAGGGCTATCATTCGCCCCTGATGTTGGCCATAACCGGGAATCAATTGAAGGTCGCAGGGTTCGTAGGCGCAGTGAGCCAAGCACTGCACCACTGTTCCCCAACGCCAGGCGTGTGCATTGTGCATGCAGAGGGGGGTAGCGCGAACCATCGTGGGCAGTGTAGGAGGAACAGGGAATGGCGTGGGCGAGCGGGCTTCCCCATCGAACTGAGCGTGGCCTTTAGTCAGCGGGAAGTGCCTCGTAGAAGCGGGAAGCACAACCACGCAAGGGAAACAGCAGCTGCCAGATCAGTTTCGTCCCAATAGTAGTGTCCAAGCACCACACTGCAGGTCACAACACACTCACTCACTCACCCAATCATTCACTCACTCGCCCACCCACTCACTCGCTCGCTCACCCACCCACCCTCTCACCCACTTACTCACTCACTCGCCCACCCACTCACTCGCCCACTCACTCACTCACTCACTCGCCAACCCACTCACTGACTCACTCACTCACCCACCCGCCCACTCACTCACTCACCCACCCACTCACCCACTCACCCAACTCACTCACCCATCCACTCATCCACTCATCCACCCACTCACCCACCCACCCACCCACACACTCACTCACCCCACTAACCTTCCCACTCACCACACTACAGGTCACAACACACTCACTCACCATGCTACAGGTCATAATGCACTCACTCACCCAGTCACCTACCCACCCACTCACCACGTTGCAGGTCACAAGACTTCTCTCTTTCGGCTTCTTCCATCGCACTGCTCCACAATGAAATCTCCCTCCGTCTCTTTCCCCCAGGGTTCTTATAACCTCGCTCAATTGAATACACGTGTTCACTCTGAGCTTGTGCTAACTGAACGTGTAGGATTTCACAGCCAATATTATTTTTCGTGATTGTGCAGCAATACAGGAACGTGTAACTTGTTTGGCTCTGTCAGGTAGTGGAGGGGCTACATGGCAAAACTTCGGGCCAGATCGTTACGTGGCCTAAACTGACAAAAAAACATCAATAAGGTCCAAGACTGGAGGACGTTTTCATATTTTGGCAACTGTGTGATGATGATGTTGGCTGTAACTACCAGAGAAACGTCCGCACTCAATTGCTAAATGTTGAGAATCGCTCTCCAACAAGAACACTGCCGCTGGTGCTGCTGCTGCTGAAGCAGTGATACATTGGCGTGTTTGTTAATCGCGTGACAACTTTATGAATTGGCCTTGTCGGGCGGAGGAAGGGTGTACGACACACATTTTACTCACACGGCGATCTGACCCAAAAATGTTTGATTCATGAAGTGCTATTTGTTGTTGACCGCTTGGCGTTTTGGGAATTGTTTCAGTGTGCTTAGCAACTGTGATAAAACATATATTTTTATGAATAATAAAATTTCTCGCTGGTTACGAACAACTCCGCTTCACTTCCCGGGTACAAAGGTCAACGCCACACACGCACGGCCCGTGTGGTTAGGTCAACAGTGCGTCAGGACTCCTATGCAAAGGTCAAGGGTCATGGCAGAGTGATTGTGAATGATTCATCCTTGTGTACGGCTTCGCACAGATACTCACAATTCCATGTCCAGGTCCGAGAGCCAAAACATAGCCTCGAGAGAGGCCAAATGATTCTTATTATTTTGTGTGTTAGACTGCGCTTAAGCCAGCAACACCTCACTGAGTAACCAGAATCATTTTCAGGAGTGTCCTGCCAAGTTTTCGCAGTCAGAGCGTTGTTGCTGTGTGGTGTGTATAATCTCTCAGCATTAGGGATGTTTGGCCAATACCAGTTACATTTCATGTTTTTTTTAGCTACAGAAGGAAACTGGAGAACCTGGAGGAAATCCATGCCGAACAAACATACTCCACTCGGAGAGGCTCCCGAGTCTTTATCGTGATGACGTATGGTGTAGCGATGGTGATGATGACGTTGGGTGTAGCGATGGCAATGATGACGTTGGGTGTAGCGATGGCGATGATGACAACGACGACGATGCGGTGGAGTGTCGGAGGGCGGTGAGCGTGCTCAGAACGATGGACCACTCACCCAGGTCCTGGTTGTGGGCCTTCTCGCTGCCCTCCACGTACAGCAGGCTGAAGCCGTCCCACACTCGGCCCATGCCCACGGGGCACATGGGCACGTCGTCCGTCTGGCTGTGCTTCACGAGCAGGAAGCCCACGTTCATGCCGCGGCCCGGCATCCCCGACGGGCCGGGAGTTCCGCTCCGGCCCGCGGAGCCTGTGCGAGCGGGACAGGCGAGTGGGTGAGATGATCAGGTCGCACGATCCACGGTTATCGCGCCGTTCGTTGTGCGAAACATCGTCGCGTTGTGAATCTCGTCGTTATCTTAAATGCCCTTCAACACTTCACCCCCCTGTCAAGGTTACAGACAAGACAATAAAATGTTCAATTCATTTTTATCGTGACGTGTAGTTAAATGACGTAAAAAAATGTCCAGCTATTAACCCTATTCAAGTATTGCTGCGGAGAACGGGTTCCTGAGTAATTGCCGGCGTGGTGGTTACACGACGTCCTATATTTCTGAAAGCACGAGCGTGCTAAGAGTTTTATCGATTGTAAAGTTGCACTGATTGTAAAGTTGCACTGATTGCAAGGCTCGTGGCAGGTTTGCGTTGAGTGAACCGCAGTTGAAGAACGTTTAAGCAAACCGCGTTCCTGCTCAACAGCACTTTAAAGCATCAAAACAAGACGATGAAATTGTAAGACACAATTATTTAAAAAAATACGGGAAACTGATATGCCGATAATCGTTGAATCGTGACATGTCATTTCGTGTCGGGCGCACTCCGGGGTCGATTTGGCCAGAGGCGCCAGTGCACAATAGAGGCAGCGCTTAGCGACCCAGCTTCCCCTCTTGTGGTCAGGCCTGGCCCTCGGGTTGAGCGGCGGTGGCCGGGGCAGATAAGGCCACAGCTCTACCATCACTCCGCATGCCTGTGACGTTCGCTCGCTCGCTCACAAAGAACTTCACGCAGCTCTACGCGATGCAACCCACGTGCGAACACGGGTGGCGCACACCCGCGCGCCCGCAAAACGCAAACCCGTTCTCACGACTCGCACGAAGCATTCGCAATTCGCCTTCCCCGCATCTATTTTTAGAACGAGTCCCCCAATGGGGCAGCTGTCCGCCGCTGACGAAACACTCGCGGTGTCCCCCCCCCCGTCCCTCGCCTTTAAATGTCGGCCAACGAAAGCCGCTCGCACGCAAAGACCCCGGCGCCCATCGATGGCGAAACCAGATAAAGCTTCGCAACCTTTGCAAGTTACATGGAGCATGGCAACTATTATATGTTTTTTTAACCAGGTAAGAGCCACTGAGCTATATAGCGCTACTTCAAAAGAGACCTGGCCACAAATGATGGGAGGGAAAAACCGGAGGACCCGAAGAAAAATCCACGCGACCGCGGGGGAGGGAGAGAGAGACACGCACATTCCAAAATACAATAGGCGTCAGGGTTGGAATCGAACCCACGACCTCTTACCCTTTGGTTCTTTTGGTAAAGTCACGTAGGTAGAAAAATAAACAAAAAATAAAAAATCACGACGTTTCGATCACAACACAAGCGGTCGTCCTCAGGCGGAAAAAATAATAATCCAGCAGTTGTGAATTTGTTGTTGTTGTATTGTTAAAATTTTCTCCCTACGTGACTTTACCGAAAGAACCAAAGAGTATGGATTCCTGCAGTCACGAAAGCTTCAAACCACGACCTCTTGTGTACCAGGCGAGGTAGTTAACATCTCGCCACCGTGGCGACGACCTGAGAGAGAGAGGGAATTGCTCGCACGGGGGTCGCATGCATCCCTGCAACTTCACTCGCGGACTTCCCAAGGCCTCCACGAAATCGCGTCGACTCCAGCACCACCGTCCTCTTGGTCCACGTGAATGATGGAGAAGGGTTGGGAGTAGATTGGAGGGCGTGGGTTTGTGTTGCGAGTTGCTATTAACGTGAGGAATTTGTTTACACAGGGGGTTAAGGCTAAGGACAGCGTTGTGAGCAGGGTTTATGTGAGGTTCTTGGGCAAAGACGAGCTTTGGTTTAGGATGAGGATTTAGACAAAGACTCGGGTTAGATTAACATAAAATATCATCATTGCAGGGCGCCACCGTATCCCTCAGGCTCGGCGTCTCTTTCCCCTCGTGATATTGCACCCACACTGCGTCAGTCAGTGCACTACCGCACCACCGCACCACCGCACTACCGCACCACCGCACCACCACACCACCGCACCACCGCACTACCGCACCACCGCACTACCGCACCACCGCACCACCGCACCACCACACTACCGCACTACCGCACTACCGCACCACCGCACTACCGCACGGTGTTCTCGCACCGTGAGGCCACGGCGCGAGCCCTCACCTTGCGGCCCGATCTTTCCGGGGAATCCTGAGTTGCCGGGGTCGCCGGTCGACCCCGCGGCACCGGGCCGCCCGTCCCGACCGTTCAGGCCGGGCAGCCCACGGTTGCCCCGATCCCCTGTACAATAACACACGCGCACACAAAGACAAAGATCCCCCTCGTAGCCCTCACAGACTTTTGGGGCAAGTGCCGTTAGCGAGAACCGACGGAGGCCAGCAGGCCCAGTTATCTTTGTCTCCCCAGTGGCGATGTTTACGCACTGCACCAGGTACTCATTTGAGGCTAAGGCAATCTAGGGGAGGCCCAAAACAGGTTCAGATAATTGAACCTTATGGCGGGACCCCGGGGTCCCATAAGCCCCGGGCTCTCGCGTAAACATTATTTTATAATGTAAATCTTTGCTCTTTTCACCAATGGGTTTGAAGGATGGTGGCAAGTGTTGTCTTGTTAAACTATGCCTTGAAAACTACTTACCTGCAGTACCTCTTTTTAAATACAATATCGAAAAAATAATTGACACACCTCTGTGAATCATCGTGTTTCTCAGTGTGGATTTGTGAACACACTTTGTAAACAGCACATAAAATAGTACGCGTTTTAAATGCGCTGTTCATATTGTAACAGGCGTTTATACCAATGTTACTCTACAGAGTAGTGGGTTGCTGCTCCTCTTATCCGCATTGATACGAGCGGTATGTGGGGACTATGGCTTATCCGCAAAAAAACCCCTATCTGCACAGATGCATACGGACAAGAGAAGTATTATTAAACAGAATAAATAACGGTGCGACGCATCTCATCTGTTAAATATCTGCAGGTAATAGGATTGTCATCGATTGATCCTGGCTGCAGACATTGGTAGGTCACCAACAACAATGAAGATAAGACAGCAGTTTCACTGTATTATGCATCCCGTGATGACAAATACAGGACTTAAGTCGTGTAGGCAGTTTGATCAGCTTTGGATAAGACTTATGATCCTGCCCATACCCGAGCATGGTGTGCATTCACTTGTTCAGATCTTGTGCACATTCGTCCTCGCCGCTGCGCTTGGACACGACACGACAACAGATCGATCCGCGCCAGGTGGGTCGCGGCGTTTGTGTGCGCGGTGGGATGGAGTCGCCAAAAATAAAAAAACGTAATTACGATTTTGACTTCCGTTTATTCGTCTTATTAGGTCCAATTGTCACCGCTACACGACCGCTCCGCACACACATCAACACGCACACATGCTGGGGTCACGAGGTCAACTCCACACGCACACGCACGCCCAGCCTCCGGGTGCAACAGGGAGGCAGAGGAACAACAGAAGACGCTCTTCTTACCGCAGCGACGTGCTGCCAAATTACGCGAGTGCCGCTCTCGTTAAGGACTAGTTTCAATCCGATGCTTTTATTTCGCCAGGAGATGGGAACAGGCCATGAAGACAAACTGTACACTTTGATGTGTTCAAAGATGGCAACTGAAATTACATTTTACACCGAAAAGTGGCACAATTCCTGTGCCCGTCAATGGAGCCGCACGTCGGCTGCACAAGAACGCCGTCCGCCTCGTGAGCCCCACGGGTTGGCTGCCCCTGCTCCCCCAAGTTCCCTTAGGAGTTCCGCTGCCATCGCCACGGAGGATCCTTTCCCCCACTCCGAGCCTCACCTGACTGGCCCTGCAGGCCCTTGGCTCCAGCGTCGCCCTTGAAGCCCATCTGACCCGGGATCCCGGGAAGGCCGTTGGACCCGGGTGCCGCTTGGACCTTCATTGGCTTCCCGGGCGGGCCTGGAGGTCCCTGGCCACCCGCGACGCCTGCGGAGACGAACGGCGACGTTGACATTCTACTCGGTGGGGTCTCGTCACGACGTGGTCGGGAACAACGATGTGTGACGTGTGCTGACGTCAACATCATCTTCATCATCATCAACAACAATTGTCATCATCGTAGTTGATCATCATCATCATCATCTTCGTCGTCATCAATATTGTCATCGTCAACGTCATCACCGTTTTGGGCGCTGTCCTCAGAGGTGTGCGACGACCACAGGCGAGTGGGAAGGCAGCAGCCAGAACCGGCCCTACCAACAATTAGCTCTGTGGCCCTATATCGGGATATTAACGGTACATGTGTAGAGGAGTAGTGGAGAGTGGTGGCGTCGTGTGCGCTGTCAGGTGCGGTGACCTCACGGGACGTGGGGTCGCACGCGCTGGGCAGTGCACGCGACATCACCCCTCCGAGGGTATATAAGGGAGACCCCGTAACGTAAGCGGGGTCACTGGAGGAACGGGGATAGTGGAAGGGGTAAAGAGGGAACCAGGGATAGTGATAAGTGTTAATAAACCCTGGCGGAAGCCCCTAACTCAACCTCCGTCTCCGAGTACCTCCGTCTACGATACAACAACTGGTGTCAGAAGTTTACACCGTCGCCAACATGTATAAAGCGGGCGCACGGCGTAGGAACCCACCGGCACATGACTTGGAGGGCGCCGAAGGCGGAGAGGAGGCTCCAGCAGTGACCCCGGAGCCCGGGACCCCGGTGACGGTTCCCGTGGAGACGAGCGGGCCGGAGCGGGAGGAGTCGGCTGCGGGGAGTGCCAGCTCACCGCCGCCGCCAGAGACGGAGAGCGTCCCCGCAGCTCTGCTGCAGCAGCTCCTGCAGGCGGTGGGGCAGCTGACAGCCAGGTTGGCCAAGGTGGAGGCGCGGACGCAGCCAACCGCCCCGCACGCGGGACGGGAGCAACTGTCAACTGCCAACGTTGAAAGCGCCGCAGTTTTCCCAGCGACCGCTCCACCGGAAATGGCCGCCATGTTGGCTGCGACGCAATCCGCGGCGGCCATGTTGGCTCGGGAGCCATATGCGGCCGCTGCTACGGCTGCCATGGCGACCGCGACGCCGCGTCTCTCCACCGACGCGGCCGGGATTTCTCGGCACGCCGCTCCTGCGAGACCAGCCGCCGGCGACGACGCGGCTCTACATCAAGCGGCGCCCGCCGGGGGGGCCCAGGGTAAGTACGCGCGTGCCGTCCTCGCCGGGCCGCCGGGGTGGGCAGCGGCGGCTGCTGCTGCCCCGTACATCGCTGTGCCGCCGGAATGGGCCGCGGGTGCTGCCGCGGCTCAACCTGTCGCTGCGCTCACGGGGCCGGACACCGGCGATGCCGCGGCTCTGCACCTCGCCGTGCCTGCGTCCCTTCTCATGGATGACGCCGCAGCTGCGTGTTATTCTGCCGCGTCTTCGGCGTGGCCCATGGAGGCTGCAACGCCGTGGCGCCTCGCCGCGTCGCGAGAGGTTGCCGCGGCTGCGGCCGCTGTCCCGCACCTCGCTGCGCCGGCGGGGAGGGCCGCGGGGGCCACCGCGGCTCCGTGTTTTACCGCCGCGTCTACGGCGTGGCCCGGGGAGGCCGCAACGCCGTGGTGCCTCGCCGCATCGCGAGAGGTTGCCGCGGCTGCGGCCGCTGTCCCGCACCTCGCTGCGCCGGCGGGGTGGGCCGCGGGGGCCGCTGCAGGCCCGAATTACACCGCCGCGTCTTCGGCGTGGCCCGTTGAGGCTGCAACGCCGTGGTCCCTCGCCGCGTCGCGGGACGACGCCGTGGCTTCGTACGCCGCCGCTGACCGGTGGGTCGCGAAAGCGCAGGCGCCTTCACACTTTGCTGCGTCTACGGCGTGGCCCATGGGGGCCGCAACTCAGCCACAATTCGCTGCGCCTACGGCGTGGCCCATGGGGGCCGCAACTCAGCCACAATTCGCTGCGCCTACGGCGTGGCCCAAGGGGGCCGCAACTCAGCCACAATTCGCTGCGCCTACGGAGTGGCCCATGGGGGCCGCAACTCAGCCACAATTCGCTGCGCCTACGGCGTGGCCCATGGGGGCCGCAACTCAGCCACAATTCGCTGCGCCTACGGCGTGGCCCATGGGGGCCGCAACTCAGCCACAATTCGCTGCGCCTACGGCGTGGCCCATGGGGGCCGCAACTCAGCCACAATTCGCTGCGCCTACGGCGTGGCCCATGGGGGCCGCAGCACCACCGCACCTTTCCGCGTCTTCGGCGTGGCCCGCGGGAGCCGCAATGCTGCCACCGCCGCAACACGTCGCGTCCGCTGGGTGGCCCGCAGGTGCCGCTTGGCTTCCACACCTCGCGGCGCCGCGCGGCCAATGGCAGCGCAGGTTACCCGACGTTGCGCCGTTTGTCGCGCAAGGGGGCGACTGGTCGGCCTTCCAGGACCGGTTCGACGCGGCATACATGTTGGTCGGCTGGTCCATGGAGGAGGCCTTGCCGGCGCTTCCGACCTGCTTGGACGAAAGGGCTCTGCAGGCCTTCAAGTCCATCCATCCGGCCAATCGGGCTACACTCCCGGCGGCCTATATCCAAATGGCCAACGTTTTTGAGCCGCCGTCCACCGCGCAGCTAAAGTTTTCATTGCGGCGGCGGGAGGAGGGGGAACTGCCGCTGGCCTTCCGCTGCTCGCTCCTGGCCCTGGCGCAGGCTGCATACCCTGACCTGTACGGCAGGGCACTTGATTCTATGGCCTTGGGGAAGCTGCTTGACCTGGCAAGGGAGCTAGGAATTGCTCTGTCGATCAACAATGATCGGCAGATCACATCCTTGGCGGTCGCAGAAAACATTCAGGCGCACCTCTCCCTCCGCCAACGGCCTCAGATGGCGGCGTGTGCGGGGATCCTGGCGCCGGACGGGGGGGACACCCTCGCGGCCCTGGCGATGCCCGATCGTCGAGGAAGGGGGACGGGTGGTCGCCGTCCGGAGCAGCGGGGGCGGCCGGGACCTTCCCGTCCACAGGAGGCGGACACGGTGGCCTGCTTCCGCTGTGGTCAGCGGGGCCACATTGAGCGGGGCTGCCGGAATGCCCCGGGGGCCTTTGGAAAAGGGACTCCACCTTCTCCCAGACCCTCCTTGGCATCGGGTTCGGGGCCCCAGGCGAGTCGCGACGCATCATCTGCGCGGCCGCTCCCTTCACCTCATGCATCTAGCGGGGCTAGGGCCCATCGTCATGGGGTTGTCCTCGAAGGGTCGGGTGCACCATCGTCATCACCCCCTCAATGGCCCAGACAGACCCGCCACTGGGATGCGCTTGCGCATAGGATGGTGGCGGCAGCTGCCGGCTCCTCAGCGGTGGCAGGATATGTGCAAGGGGTGCACGTTCGCCTCCTGGTGGATACGGGGGCGTCGGCCACCATTATTTCTGAGGCCATTTTTGGGCTGCTACCCCGCAGCGTGGGTCCATTAAGGCCGGTTCGCGGGGCTTGTGTCGCCGCGAACGGCGGCAGTTTGGGCATCCTGGGCCACGTTGTAGCGTCGGTTCGGGTTGACGAGATTGAGTTGGCCAGGCCGATTTTGGTCTCCAGGACCTTGGCAGTGCCATGCCTCTTGGGGACCGACTTTTTGTCTAGGATGCCCATCCGAATTCTCGTTGACCAGGGCTGTGTGGAAATGCCGTCAGGGAGGCGGCTGCAATTCCTACAATCACCTACCGTCCTGTCTCCCTTGGTCGCCGGTGTACGGGCCTTGAATAAAGTGCCGGTGACCGTACCACCGGCGTCACAAATCCTGATACCCCTTAGGTTGCGCAAACCGCTCGAAATGGGCTCCACGGAGACGGGTATCCTCCTGTCCCCGTCAAGCTACTTTTCAAGGACGAAGGGGTTGGTGGGCGCCTTGACAGCCGTGTCGGGGGGCCAGGACCTTTTTTTGCAGGTCCTCAATTCGGGACCCTTGCCGGTCATAGTCCCGGCCGGCGCCGTCCTGGCACACGCAACCCCGGCTCCTCCACCCGAGAGCGCTGCCCCGGATGGAGGGGTCGTGGCGGGCGTGATGCGCACGGGGGACCCCGACGCATCATGGATCGCCACGTTGTGCGACGAGAATGCCTCGTTGTCCTTCGGGGAACGTCGGCAACTCCGCGACCTCATCGAACGGTTCACCGATGTGTTCAGCCAAAGTAAGTTTGATCTGGGTCGCACTACTCTTTTGGACCACCACATAGACACGGGCGACGCGGCCCCCATTCGACTTAATTCCCACCGCTTTAGCCCAGCGGAAAAAGATCATGTCCGCTCGGCTGTCGAGGAAATGTTGGCGGCGGACATCATCTCCCCATCTACTAGCCCTTGGGGTGCCCCCATTGTGCTAGTCAAGAAACGGGACGGGAGTCTCCGGTTCTGCGTCGATTTTCGTAGATTGAACAAGATCTCGGTGGCTGATGCATATCCATTGCCTCGCATGGATGATTCCTTGGACGCCCTCTCGGGCGCGCGGTTCTTTTCGACTTTAGATTTGCTCTCCGGCTTCTGGCAATTGCCACTGGATGAGGCCTCTAGACCCAAAACAGCGTTCCGCACGCCCCAGGGGTTGTTCGAGTTCAATCGGCTTCCTATGGGTCTCCATTCGGCCCCGGCCACCTTCCAGCGTCTCATGGAGATGGTCTTGGCGGGGCTGCAGTGGGAGTCTTGTCTAATCTACTTGGATGACGTTATTGTTTTTGGCCGTACGTTTGGCGAGCACTTGCAACGCCTTGAGGCGGTGTTCGTCAAAGTGCGTGCTGCTGGCTTGAAATTCAAACCCCAGAAATGCCACTTGCTACAACCATCGGTGAGGTATTTGGGACACATTGTTAGCACGTCAGGTGTCGCCACGGACCCGGATAAAACGGCTTGTGTCCGGACGTGGCCGACTCCCACATCTGTCGCGGAGGTGCGTAGCTTCGTTGGATTCGCATCGTACTATCGCCGGTTTGTCCGCGATTTTGCGACAATTGCGAAGCCACTGCACGCCCTTTCCGCCAAAGGACAAAGGTTTCACTGGGGCGCGGAGGAGGAGGCGGCTTTTGCGGCGCTTCGCACGGCCTTGGCGGATGCGCCGCCCTTGGGGTACCCGGATTTTACGAAACCCTTCCTGCTCGATACCGATGCCAGCGACACGGGAATTGGGGCTGTCCTGGCCCAGGTGGTCGACGGGGTTGAGAGGGTGGTAGCCTATGGCAGTCGCGTTCTGTCCTCGACGGAACAGCGATATTGTGTGACCCGGAGGGAGCTTTTGGCCATAGTTTATTTTGTTCAGTTGTATAGACCATATTTGTACGGTAGGCTGTTTACGGTCCGAACCGACCACGCGGCCCTGCAATATTCGCTGAAGATTAGTCAGCCCTCGGGTCAGCTGTCTCGCTGGCTCGAAGTGCTCCAGGATTACCCTTTTGATGTAATCCATAGGAAGGGGACACAGCATGGAAATGCGGACGGTTTATCCCGATTGCCGGCAGGCGGCGGGTGTGCTTGCGCCCTGGGCTCTAGCCGTTGCAAGGCCCCAGGGGACGCCGCGGCCCAGTTGGTCGCGTCGGCCGAGGCGGACACCCCTCCAGGTGCGGCGTCGACCGCAGATTTCGGCCTTGGACTTCCCCGGGAGGTATGGTCCGGCTTGCAGATGGAGGATTCCTCTCTGCTGAAGCTACGGCGCCGTGTCGGACATAACGCCCGGAGCTTAGCTTCGTCGGCTGCCCCGGCGATCGCCGTGCATGACGGACTACTCATGCGTTGGGATGCCCAATTGGAACGCTATTGTGTGGTTGTGCCCACTAGCCTGCGTGGTAAATTAACCCGAGCCATTCACGAGAAGCTTATGCACCTTGGCTACCACAAGACCTTATTGACCCTTAAGCGGGACTATTACTGGCCGGGTGTTGAGGGTGACGTAGCACTGATTTTGAAGGGTTGCCACGACTGCGCGCGGAGGAAGGCCCCAGTTGTCCAGGACCGGGCCCCGCTGCAGTCCATCCGGGTTTCTCGCGTTAATGAGCTCGTGGCGCTCGACATTTTGGGGCCATTCCCTGCATCCCAACGGGGCCACAAATACCTCTTGGTGGGCGTTGAGTACCTCACACGTTGGCCCATGGCATGGCCTTTGGTCGATCAGTTGGCCTCTTCTATCACCGAGGCCTTCGTCCAGGGATACGTGTTTGACAAGGGCGCGCCGGAACAATTGTTGACTGACCAGGGGCGGAATTTCTCGTCTAGGTTGCTCAAGGAGGTGTGTGACCTCCTTGGCACCAAGAAAATCCGCACCTCGCCCTACCACCCCCAGTCAGATGGGATGGTAGAGCGCTTGAACCGCACCCTTACGTCCATGCTGTGCCACCAGGTGAACACGTCCCAGTCAGACTGGGACCTGTTCGTCCCGGGGGTCTTGGCGGCGTATCGGTTGGCCCCTCATGCCTCCACGGGATTTTCGCCTTTTTATTTAATGTACGGTAGGGAACCGGAGCCCCCGGTGCACGTCCAGATGGACGTTGGCTCCTCCAAGAAGGGGTCGTCGGTGCCGACCCCTTTGAAGGTCGCACTTGACCGGCTGCGCGAGGCGCGACAGGCCGCTGCCGAGAATTCCGCAAGCCGGCAGGCGGCTAATGAGCGGCTGCCAAAACACCAGGCAGCTGGCCTCCCGTGGGTAGCGGGTCAAAAAGCGTGGCTGCATTGTCCCCAGGTCCCCGTTGGCACATCGGCCAAATTGCATCGCCCTTGGCAGGGACCCGTGGAGGTTGTGGAGGTCCGCCGGCCGCAATGCGTCCGGATTCGATTCGGTCGCAGGCAGTGGATAGTGCACCCGTCCCGGCTCAAACGTTATGTTCCATCTACCCTGGGGGATCCACCCCCAATTCCGGAGCGGCCGGCTGATGATGTATCCGGCGTGCCTGACCGGCCGGGTCTCGTTGACGGAGGTGACGTCCGACCTGTGTGTGTGCCCCCAGGCCCCTCCCGAGTGAGGCCGACAGAGACCCCCCAGGCACCGGAGGCCACGGCGGTGGGCCTGTTGCCCGCTGACGGCCCACCTGCACGGGTGGCGGACACCGCACGAGGGAGCGGGCCAGCAGCGCATACCCGCTCGAGGGGGGTGCGGCTCCGGTGACGGCCCTGATGGCCGTTCAGCGGGCCTAGCCCCTGGCGCCCGTTCGGCGCTATCCGGCGGATGAGGCCTTCGGGCTCTATTTGTTTTGTTTTTTTGTTGTTACTGTTCTGCTTGAAGGGCCGTGCTGCCCTAAGGTTGATTGCAGCCGGGTCGGCTGTTTTTTTTTACGGGGGGGGGTGATGTAGAGGAGTAGTGGAGAGTGGTGGCGTCGTGTGCGCTGTCAGGTGCGGTGACCTCACGGGACGTGGGGTCGCACGCGCTGGGCAGTGCACGCGACATCACCCCTCCGAGGGTATATAAGGGAGACCCCGTAACGTAAGCGGGGTCACTGGAGGAACGGGGATAGTGGAAGGGGTAAAGAGGGAACCAGGGATAGTGATAAGTGTTAATAAACCCTGGCGGAAGCCCCTAACTCAACCTCCGTCTCCGAGTACCTCCGTCTACGATACAACACATGTATGTTGAACTTCTTTTGCACCGTACCGTGCTAATTGGAGGTGCGGTGTTTATGATAATGCTTTCATACGTCAATGCTTTTGGGCATGATGGGTATAATCACGTGCCTACTTCAGTGCGACGGGGTTACCTGTAGGCCCCGTGCTTCCCTTCGTTCCAGCGGATCCTGGATCGCCCGGGAAACCCCGTGTTCCGATGGGACCCTGAGAGCCAGCGTCTCCCCGCGGTCCTGAGGGCACAACAAGACAAAGATCCCCCGTATAGCCTTGACAGACAGTTGGGGCAAGTGCCGCTAGCAAGAATCTACGAAGATCGGCACGGCCCACGAGGGGATGATGTGGCTACCACCATACCCGGTCACCTTTGCCTCCCCAGTGTTGGAGATTACACACCAAACCAGATAGTCATGTACAGCCGAGGCAACCTAGCGGAGGACCAGGACAGGTTCAGATGTCACCCGCCGCTGATTGTAGCTGTGGCCCGGGATTCAAACTTAGGTCGGCCAAGTTCGTAGCGCAATGCGCGAAGCAATGCACCACAGCTCGTGAGACATTCAAGGTTGTATTCAGGTAAATACATATTCTGGTAACAGGTGAGGACGTCCCTTACATGGAAGGTAATGCTGTGCCCAGGGTAACAGCGAACGTGTTCCCGAACAAACAGGGAAACTGTGCCGGATGAATTCCACGCAAAAGGGCCCCACAGTCTAAAAATAATCTGCGGCGAGCCAACTCACGCTCCGGGGAATTCATTGTTTAACAACGACTCACGTTTGTGCGGTTTTGTTTTAATTTCACGTTTTTTTTGCTCCGAGTTCTATATGCTTCAAATGCCGAACTGTTTAAAAAAAAGAAAATTGGGCATTTCGGTCACCCAGGTCACACAGCCACATGAGACTCCGACCCTTGCCTCTTGACTTCCCAGCTGGTTCAGCAAAATAAACTTTAATCCTCCTGAACTCACCCATGACGGTCGCCGATGCTGGCGTGCTACTGGAAATGTACAGCGTTTTTTGTAGTACCAGCCAAGGGCTGACTGCTGGCTGAATGGTAACAAGTTGCCAGCAACTGCATGGGTGTCAAGGGCTTAACTTCAGCTGGCGATGTCCATGTAGGTAACCCCAGAAAATATTTAATCACCCGCACACCACATCTCCTTATGTCCGTGGCTACGAGTTACTGTACTTGCCATGTACTCCACCATAAAATATTCAGTGAGAAATTAATCCCTGATGGGGGAGGAGAGGGGTCACAGTGCGGACGGACAAAGATCCCCCGTATAGCCTGAACGTAATGTTGGGGCAAGTGCTGTTAGCGAGTAGCCATAGCTGTCAACCCATCCGGTTTACCCCGTATTCTTGAACAGGGAAATTGAGTTTACAGGTCCATACGGTGTACAGCCGTTTCAATACGGGCAAAATGAAATGTCTATTTGTGTTTCTCCCTTGTGATGGGACTTTGTATGATGAAGGTTGAGGTTTATAAGGGGCACGAGGTGACCACTAAGGTCTGAATTGGTCTGTAGTAAGGTAGGGCACTGATAAGGGGTTGACAGGTATGAGTAGCACCTATGAAGGCCGGCACGGCACGAGGGGGTTGGTGGCCAACACCACGCCCGGCCACCTTTGTCTCCCCAGTGCCGATGTGTACTACACACCGCACGGCACCGGGTACTCATTTGAGGCTGAGTCAGCATTAGGGGAGGCCCAGGACCAGTTTCAGATAATCGCCACTGGTGCTGGTGGCCGTGAGCGGGAATTCGAACTTGGGGAACGCCGGGTTCGTAGCGGGCGATGCGCTAACCGCTGCGCCACCGCTCGCCATTTAGTATAGCCGGGATTGAGGGGCCCTTGGTCATGTGACTCTTGGTCATCTGGGGCCCTTGGTCATGTGATCATGTGGTCACATGACCAAGGGCCCCACATGACCAAGGGCGGAGGCCGGCAGCCAGGTAATCATTTGAGGCTGAGGCGACCTATGGGAGTCCCAGGATCGGTTCAGGTAATCGTAGCTGTTGAACTCGTGTCGCCGCGTTCGTATGGCGCAGCATGCGAACTGCTGCACCACACTCCCGCTCCGCACAACAAAAACACACACACACAAACCCACCCTTTAGGCCGGTGCTCCCAGGAGGGCCGGGCACGCCAGGTCGTCCACCGTTGCCCATGGGCCCTGCTGGGCCGTCCGGCCCATTATCTCCGGGTGGCCCCTCCACCCCCTTGGCTCCCGTGAGGCCGGGTGTGCCGGAGGGCCCAAACTTGCCTCTTGGACCTGCACGCCAGCACGTGGTCGCAGCGCTTGTACGCACAAACAAGAGGCAAAGGAGCTGCCCTCCGATCGCTCGCTCGCCCGCCCGCCCGCCCGCCCGCCCCACTGGTGGCGGAAGGGCTTCCAATGAATGGAGTTCTCGAGGACCCCTTCAAGAGGTTATTTTCTCCGACTCTTCCATGCTGGTCAGACGTTTTGTAATATGTATGTTGAACTTCTTTCGGACCGTACGTAGCCAATCATGCTAATTGGAGGTTCGGGGGAAGGACAACAAACTACAACACAAAAAGCCGTTCTAAAGACATTAGTTTTAAATCTCGTTGATTTAATAGTTCATAGCTCCAGTGGCATCCCAATATCGGAAGGAAGAGTGTTCCAGATGGCCGCAGAAGCGCATCCGAAAGCGCCGCACGAAGCGGTGACCGTCTTTGTGCGATGGTTAGCTAAAAGCCGCTGCTGCGAGGAATGGCCGGAGTTCGCGTGGTAGTTCATGCTCCTTGACGAGATGCAATAGGTGAGAGGACTCACGTTTTACCCCCGCCACACGCGGACCTGCCAATCACAGACTAACTGTGCCGCACACATTTATACTGCTTGGTGGACAGATTCGGGGGGGGGGGGCGGGTTTAAGAAACTCGTCGCTTCGTTTCAAGTGGCGTTGAAGAAAAAACCGGTGACCTCTGGAATTGCACGTCCATTGTACTGACCATGACACGATTGTAAGGGAGGTCGCGGGCAAATGGAATCGATTTTGTGGACACAAACGCCCCCTGTAGCGCGATAATTAAAATGCACCAAGACTTAGCAGCATACGACATGGCTCAGTGACAGGGCTTCAGATACACAGGTCCATAAAGATGGGGGATCAGGAAGATGTGGGCTCAGGAAGACGGGGGTTCAGGAAGATGGGGGCTCAGGAAGGCGGGGGATCAGGAAGATGGGGGATCAGGAAGATGGGGGTTCAGGAAGACGGGGGTTCAGGGAGAGAGGGGTTCAGGGAGACGGGGGCTCAGGAAGATGGGGGATCAGGAAGATGGGGATTCAGGGAGACGGGGGTTCAGGAAGACGGGGGTTCAGGAAGACGGGGGTTCAGGAAGATGGGGGTTCAGGAAGACAGGGGTTTAGGATGGCTCTCTACCTGGAAATCCTTGTGCTCCTGGGGGACCCTGGTCCCCTTCTTCGCCTGGCAGGGGAGCAGGGAAACCTTGAGCTCCAATGGGACCACGGGGACCCTCGACACCCGGTTCACCTGCACAGAGGTTCAGGCACCACAGAGTGCGCGACACCACGTGAGATGCGCATGCAGGTTGAACATGGGTAGCATCTAGAAACATCTAGAAACATCCAGCAGCATCCCGCCTTGCGTGATGCTATTCGCGCGACGTAATTACGTCCATACTCTTTGGTTCTTTCGGTAGAGTCAAGTAGGTAAAAAAAATTATAGATCACGACGTTTTGATCGCAACGCAAGCAATCGTCATCCGGCTGAAGCAATCGTCATCCACCGGATGACGTCATCAAAATATCGTGATCTATTTTTTTTCTAAGTGGCTTTACCGAAAGAACCAAAGAGTATGGATTGCTGCAGTCACGAAAGCAAATCAAGATAGTTCCGTTCAACCGATCGAGTTATACCCAATTCGCATCCGCGTTATAAAACACACGTTTTCCCTCGTACATTCATCGCGTGATATCCAAATCGCGTTGTGAAAACACGCGTTTGAGGAGAACAGGCGGTACTCACCAGTGCAGCCTGTAGAGCCACCCGACCCCCGGCACGGCCATGCAGAGTGGCGCCACGGGACGGGACCGGGGGCACAACCAAACACAGGGGCACACGTGGTGAGAGAGCGCTCGTCCACAACGAGACCACCACACTTCACGGGAGGTGTGTGTGATGATGAGGAGGAGGATGATGATGATGAGGATGATGTTGATCATGATGATTATGTTGATGATGATGATTAGGATGATGATGATGATGGATGATGTTGATGATGATGATTAGGAGGAGGATGATGATGATGCTGATCATGAGGATAATGTTGATGGTAAGGAGGATGATGATGAGGATAATGATGTAAGGAGGATGAGGAGATGGAGGAAGATGATGATGATGATGAGGATGATACTGATCATGAGGATAATGTTGATGATAAGGAGGATGATGATGATGATGATAATGATGATGACGATGAGGAGGATGAGGAGGTGGAGGAGGATGATGATGAGGGGATGGGGGAGGATGATAATGAAGAACTGGAAGACAAGGAGGATGAGGATGAGGAGGGTGTCGAGGAGATGATCGTGTTGAGATAAAATTAAGAAAAAGCCTTTAACACTGGAGATGTTTAGATGTCCAAACACCAAATAAGACACCTGTTACATTAAGCACAGAGACTTGATCCTGGCAGAAAAGAGTCCCATGGATAAAGCTGCTTGAGCTCGAGCGTGGAGGCGGCTGGTTTCCAGGCCTCACCTATGTCCCCCTTGAGTCCCTTTTCCCCGGGGATGCCGCTGGGACCGATCCCCAGGCCCGGGGTACCGGGAACGCCCTTGAGACCACGGGGACCGCTGAGGCCCTCAGATCCGGGCAGCGAGGAGCCTGCTCAGCGACGAGGGGTACCGCACCATCATCATCACCATTGTTGTTACCGTCAGTTCACCATCAGTGTCATCACTGTCATGAAGCGATGGGATAGCCGCTCATCACCAGTATCATCATTGTCACTCTCCATCGTTAGCAGCAGCAGCATCATCATCACTGTCCCGCACCTGCGATTAGCACAGTTGGCTACGAACGGTGCGAACGATGTTCAACATCCGTCAATCATCATGAAAATACGAATCATCCCTTCTATCAATCAGCAGCATTGCCACTGCTGTCGATTGCCATCATTATCATCGCTAACATTGCATCATGAATGCAAACTGCCGTGACAAGTAGCGCGGTTGGCTACGTATGGGGTGGAAGAAGTTCAACATACGTACGTACAAAATTCTGTGTTACAGAGATGGGGGCTTGGCAGTCGGCTAACCGCTGTGAGTTGAGATACAATGGTGCCGTGTGATGTACAGGGACTCCGCTACTTACGAACGAGTTAGGTTTCAGAGGTCAGTTCGTAAGTCGATTTGTTCAATTTTACTCCTGTTGATTTCAATAGATGTTGTACGGCATGTACACTAAACACAAGGGAGAACGGCTTTAAACGTTGTATAATCTCATGTAGATGCCATTGGTTCTTCATTTATTCATGTTCTGCAGATGTAGATGCCACCACTGCCATCTATTCTGTGGTGGTTGAACTTACGACTCTCGGTCCGAACAGGCAACTGGACATACGGACAGGTTTGTTCGTATCTCTGAAAGTTCGTAAGTCGAATGTTCGTAGGTAGAGGAGTTCCTGTAGAGGCGACATCGATGGGTCTGAGTGAAAGTCACGTGGGAGGTGGCGTTAGCTCGGACTCACCCGGGGATCCCTGGAGTCCCTTTTGCCCGGGGACTCCGTCCAGTCCGTCCGTCCCTGGAGATCCAGGGGAACCTGACGAGGGAAAAAAAAGTAACACTCGCGTATGACAATAACACAGCGGCAATACTAATAATAATAACGGTATCAAACTTGGAAGGGGCACAGCATTCGCTCGCTCTCGAAAGAGGAGAGAGGGAACGGCTCAAGAGGGACGAGGAGGAACCATGGATGAGCAAGGCAGGCAGCCGTGCAGCGATGAGGTGAGTACGGTGAACAGCTTGCGGTGAGTGAATGTGGTCAATTGTTTTTTTTACGCAGTTATTCAGCACAGGCCCAAAAGGTCCAAAACATCAAATGGCCAGCAACAAACAGCACGCATGAAGGTGGCAATAGGCACGAGTGTCACGCGTCTTCTTGAATTGAGCAAAGTTCTTTTTTTTATGCGAACTTGGGGAAAAGAGACGATGGGAGGGAATCCAAAGTGGAGCGGTGCGAGGGAAGAAGCGGCGAGTGTTACGACCTGCAGTGCGGTGAGCGACGTCAGTGAGTGTGGTGAGTGCGGCCCGTTTGTTTGTCATGAGGTTGTCGCGAAGGAAACCTTTTTGCCCGGTGGGTCCTGTCGGGCCCGGAGTGCCACGGGACCCTGGCTGGCCCTCAGACCCCGCGGCACCCAGCAAACCCGGAATGCCTGGATTGCCAGCGAACCCTGCACACACACACACACCACAGACATACCACACACACACCACACACCACACACACACCCCACACACAACACACACACACGCACCACACACACACCACAGACACACCACACACACACCACACACACCACACACACACCACACACACCACACACCCCACACACACCACACACACCAAACACATACCACACACACACCACACATACACCACACACACCACACACACATACCACACACACACACCACACACACACACCACACACACACCACACACACAGTGGTCATCACCCCTCATCGTGGCTACAAACACCGCACACCTCATCAAATACGTTCAACACCATAATCTTCGGATTATAGGAAACACTTCTCGCCAGATTAAAGCAACGCGTTGATAATCATCGAGCGGAAGAGAGCTTTCCACGGTGATATTCGCACCTCCGATTACCACGTTTTGGCTACGTCCGGTGCGAAATAAGTTCAACATACATACACCATACATACACCATACATACACCATACAATCACAAAACAAACACCATACACCATACAATCACCATACAATCACCATACAAACACCATACATACACTATACATACACCATACATTCATCATACATACAAAATACGTACATTCTCCTGATTTGTAAACACACCGTATTTTTCTTCTTCGACATGACCGTATCATTTGGGATGCACCCTCAATCAAAGTGATAAATTCGTGAAGCGCAGTCATGGGGAATGGCAAATAAAGTGGGAAGGCAGCCAGAGCCGGTGCCGGCAATTGCCCAAGCTCTGTGGCCCTACAGTGGAATATTTGCGCTAAACTCCACTCTTGAGTGATTGCACATGTTGCAGGAAACTCGAGGAGAACCAGGAGAAAACCCTACATGTGCGAGGTGGCACAACACTCTGTCCATGTACAGATGGAAACAGATGGGGATTCATCCATTTGTTGCAGTACTGCAATCGCCTAGCAAACCAGGGTATGGCGACCTCGGCACCCGCGGGAAGGAAATTTTACAACATTTTTGTGGCCCACCAACTCTTTGCTTCTGTAGTGGTAAATTTCAGGGGCGCGCCACCACCGACTGATCTTATCGGGCTTCTGATAATCTGAAGACGGTCCGGTCCACCACATGACCCCCCCTGCTAGCAGCCGAAAGCCCACTAGCAGGCCGATGCCGTGTACACATTGCGCCACACAGAGATAGCTGCCGCTAGGGGTCACCCTGGGCTCTACATGGAAATCCCGAAACACTTCAAACCTCATTCCGATCCCTCCACTCGCTGGAAGCGGAGCGATTGCATTCTGTGAGGCGACACAATCTCCTTTATGCAAGAGGCTGCGCTAATATATTTCCCGATGGACGTGAGCCAGCGGTGGGCATTCCACATCCGTTTGGCATGGGAAGAAGGAGAGCAACGGCGAGCACAGTACCAGGTGCGCCCGCACGGCCAGGGTCTCCCCGCGTCCCCTTGGCACCCAGAACCCCCGGCAGTCCGCTCGGTCCCCTCTGGCCCAGGTCGCCCTCAAAACCGCGTCCACCTGCGCAGCGTCACGCACACGGAGAGCGGCGTCTCGCGCTGACCCACACGTCGCTCCGTGTCATTGCTGCGATGTTAACGTGAAGCGTGGCAAACCATCAGCAACCCCGCGAGGTGCGTATAGCCGGCTCTGGCGTCCGGATGAGAAACGTTTGGCGTGGAACAGAGACAATTGGACGGGAGATGAACAGCGCACCCTTGGTTGCGGGACAGGGAGAGGAACGGCGCGTGGTGCAGAGGGAACGCGGGCAGATCGGAGAGACGTTGTGTTGAGTGTTGCTAAAGAGTAGGTGGGCTCGGGCAGGGGATGATTATTACTGATCGACGAGGACGACGGCTTGCGGGTGTCGTGGGACCATGCGAGGCATGGCGACGATGTGAAGAGGCGCTTAATCCAGCAGTGGATAGGCCATGGCTAATGATGTTGATAATAATGGAGTGGATCAGCATGACACACCCAGCAGGAAATTACTCCTCTGATTAATGATTGCTGCAGCAGCAGCAGCAGCAACAGCAGCAGCAGCAGCAACTGCAGCAGCAGCAGCAGAAACTGCAGCAGCAGCAACTGCAGCAGCAGCAGTAACTGCAGCTCCCTTTGATGCTGTTAATCCTGCATAATGCACATGCATATGCAGTACTAATCACATTCCTGCATTTCCCATAAATATGCTAAATTCCTTTTGATATGCAAATTCCTTTGTCAATGCGCCCAGCTTATATATATGCTCCAAGCTCGTGTGCTGTTTCATTCAGACTCTGTCGCCTCGACGGACCTGGTTTTCACCTGAGGACGGCTGCTTGCGTTGTGGCCGAAACGTCGTGAGAATTGTTTTATTATGTTTAATTTTTATTATTTTATTACTTCCCTTCTACGTGACTTTACCGAAAGAACCAAGAAGATGAATCCCTGCAGTCACGAAAGCTTTAAATCGAAATTTAGCTATTAATGATTTAAAATATGATTTTACTATCACCGCCACTACACATAGGATCAAATCGTTCTGGGAATGTGCGTTGAGAGACGAGTGGTGAGAGGCGATGGATTTGCTTTACCTGGCTGACCAGGTAAGCCTGGTTCGCCCCTTGACCCGGGGCTTCCAGGTATGGCAGTGGCATCTCCGGGGTCCCCTGTAGCACAGCAGCACAGCACAACACCAGAGGCTTCATAGATGGTTGGGGCAGGCGCTCTCCACGACACTCCGAGCCAGCGTCGATGTCTTCAACACTGAGCCAGGTACTCGAGTGTGTAGCTTCATATCCTAAAAAACTATGAACTAGATTTTTGTTATTTGACCAGGTAAGGCCCACTGAGCTACGTAGCTCTTTTTCAGAAGTGACCTGGTCACAAATTGATAGCTCGACAAAGTGGCTTATAGTGTGGACATATCTAGCGGCTGAAAATTCCAAACGCACGTTCATTCTGAACGTAGAGGGAAAAATCGGAAGGGCCGGAGAAAAATCCACGCGGCCACGGGGAGAGAGACATGAAAACTCTAAATATACAGCTGGCGTCAGGGTTGAGATTGAACCCACGACCTCCTGTACACCAGGCGAGGTAGTTAACATCTCGCCACCGTGGTGCCCCCAATGGCGGCGGCAGTCGACGGGATGCGACGGGAATTGTTTAATTATTGTATTGTTTATACGGGACGCTGTGGGGTCTGAGGAGACTGCCCTGAGTGAACCTCGGGGGTGAAAATGTCGACATATATCGTGCAGCGGTGGCGAGTGGCCAATGGTGGACGAACAGTGTCCCTGACGAAAGTCAGGCTCAAACCTTGCCGGAGGACAGCAGGCCAAACACTGAAGAACTCGTGAAATATGCTCACAAGTAACTGTGGCATCCCAATCTCTGCTACATCAGATTAAAAATAAAAATCTAAATGTGGAGGGAAAAACCGGAGGACCCAGAGAAAAATACACTGGACCACGGGGAGCACATGCAAACTCCAAATACACAGGCATTGTCAGGATCGGGATCAAACCCATGACCTCCTGTATACCAGGGGAAGGCAGTCAACATCTCGCCATGGGAAATTAATGAATGTTTCATACAAATGGGAGGAAACTGGAGCACCCGGAGAAAAGCCACAGGCGCGAAGTGGCAACGGCCATCGCCGTAAAGATGGAAACAGGTGCCGATTAATCCACTTGCTGTACTGCCTTCTGGTGAGCCAGAAGGCAGCCATGTGCAGCATCGCAGCCACCACCACCGCTCTCGGCTAACCCTCACAGCGAGCCATCACCTTTTGGGCCTTGGAGTCCATCGTTTCCTGGTGGGCCTGAAGACCCCTGAGAGCCCAGTTCACCCTTTTAAAGCAAAGAAAAAAACCACACAGACACACAGACTAAGACAAATATCCCCTATGCAGCCCAACAGGATGTCCGCAATCTTGATTTGAAGCTTTCGTGAAGACGTACTTAAAGCGCTTAAGTACGTCATTTTATGTTTTACATACGAGCTCTTTGTCCCAAAATTTGTCCAAAATAACGTAGCTTCTTTACCTTTCCTGGACAGTAACTTCCACTAACTGCATAACCACAACCTTTACCGTTACGCTAAAGCTGCCCATACAACATTTGCTGGTGCGAACAAATAAGTAGCAGGGAATGCAATATCGTTTCCACCAGCACAGCACACAAAGAGGTTGTTTGGCCAGGACAATGCCCAGCCGTCTTTGTCTCTTCCGTGCCAATGTTCTATAGACAGCTCACCGAGTACTCATTGAAGGCACTGGTCAACCTCGTGGTGGCACAAGGCAAGTTCTGAGATCACTTCCCCCTGATGTTAGCCACTTGCCACTGGGACCCCGTCCCTACCTTTGTCACAGCCAAAAGCTCTCCTCTGCAGACTCTCCACATTCCTCTTGTGCCAGACGTAGACATCCAACCTGCTCCCGTGATTGAGACCGGCACCACCCCTGTGTCTAGATCTCAGCACTGCCCCATCTACCTACTCCCAAGTCACCTGCAAGATCACCTTCATCATCTTCCAGATCCTCCTTGAACCTTCCCCAGTCGACCTCTCTTCTCCTATCCCACTCCCAAAAGAGTCGCAACTCAAAGCGTCTGTCTCGTCGCGTCCCGTCGGCTGTGCTCGTTCTCTCACCTGCTGTCCCGGCATGCCGGGGAAGCCCGAGATGCCACGGGTGCCGGGAGGGCCAGCGTCGCCAGGAAGGCCCGGTTTGCCCGGGACGCCAGGCGCTCCCACCTCCCCCTTGTTGAAGCTGGGAGTGCCTGGGAGGCCGGGGTTTCCAGGGCTCCCCAGGACTCCGGGCATCCCCTTTTCACCTGCCAGACGGCACACGGCGATCGGGCGTCAAGCGGCCTCCTAGCCATCTTCGAACAGCGGGGTGCGCGGTGCAGCCCAGCAAGTGCTTGCTCACTCCGCCGCTGGTGGAAAAGGTCACCCCGCTAGTGGGAGCTCTATGAAGGCCCTCCAGAGGGCATTTGAGAGATCTGGGAGAGCGGGGACAGCGAGGGGAGCGGGGGGAGAGAGGGCAGGAACGGAGGGAGCGGGGAGATCTGGGAGGTCTGTCGAGAGTGAGGAGGCCTGGCGCACCTGTTTCCCCGGGAACGCCCGGCGTTCCCAGGTCTCCCCGGTCTCCTGGAATGCCGTTCATTTCCGCCTTGAGAAAAGCCGGCGGGGGTCCAGGGGGGCCCTCCTCCCCGCGGGAACCTAGAAACAAAATCGGCACAGATGGGGTGCAGGGGTGGCATTATTGTGTCTGGGCAATGCTCGTTTCCTTTTGGAAGGTTAAATGTCGAGTCAGCAACAACTGTGGGATCTAGCAGAAGGATGTAAGCGTTGGCGAAGTACGGTGGATTAATAACACTTGAGCCTTGAAATTGACCTTATTGATACCAATCATCATCATCAACTTGCTTGATTGAAACAACAGCAACATCGCCCCTTACTGGCAGACTAATTGCCGTGTACAGGCCAGGGATGTGTTCCACATTGCACAGGCACGAGCTGCCATCAGGTGGCCACCTCGGATACAAAGAACAAACTGCACACTGAGACGCTGCGTTACATTATGGGCGCGATACAATTGCAAGTGTTATTATTTATATTATTATTAGCCAAGTTTCTAAGCATTTCTTGCTGGATAAAGGCCTCAGCAAGCCATAACTTGTAACTGAGGAATCACACTCTATATGCGTTTGTCCGGAAACAGTTTTTGTGTGGGGTCGACTATGGCAGCCGATACGTACCCTTCTGCCCTTGGCTGCCCGTCTGGCCACGGAGGCCCTTGCTGCCAAGAGGGCCTTGTGGGCCAATCTGGCCGGGGAGGCCCTGCGGGCCCCTTGTCCCGGGCACCCCGGGGAATCCAGCCATGCCCGCACTGCCCTTGGCACCTGAAGGATACAGACGTACCCACGCAGTTACAGACACATGCACGGTTGTAGACCGCTGGAGCTGTGCACTTTTAAATCTAGTTAACACGTAGGCTTTCGCGACCAATATTATTCATAATATAGGTTTTTGGGTCAGATCGCGTTATTTATAAATGTGCCGTAAACCTCCACCACCCGACACGGCCAAACAGTAACGTGACACATTGTTTACTGTTTGGCCGTGTCGGGTGGTGGAGGGTTACGACACATTTATAAATAACGCAATCTGACCCAAAAACCTTATTATGAACTTTAAATCTAGACTGAAAACGAATTTCTTGAGAACTGCTTGTTGTTGTGTTTAGTTTGTTGTCCTTCCCCTACACCTCCGATTAGCATGGCTGGCTACGTACAGTGCAAAAGAAGTTCAACAAACATACATACATACATATAGACACATACGGGATCACGTGGGTACACACAGGTCCAAAGATACACACGGGTACCCCGATAGACTACACAGATTTATCTGGGAAAGTACTGTTAGCGCGCAGCTATGAAGGCTGGAACGGTGCACGAGGGGTTGGTATGGCCGATATCATGCCTGGCCACCTTTGTATCCCCAGTGTTGAAGTTTACAAATAGTACTCATTGTAGAATGAGGTGGACTATGGGAGAAGCCCTTGACCGGTTTTAATGTTCGCCTCTGACGATGGCCGGGAATGGAACTCGTCGTGCATTAACTGCAGCGCTAACCTCTGCAACACTGCTCCCCACACACATGGGGTACACGTGAGCTGAACTGCATGGCATTGGCTAGGCTTTGGACCGTGCCATAACCCATGGTAGGTGGAGTCTTTACCTTTGGTGCTGTCCTTCCCGGGCATCCCAGCGATGCCCGGCACTCCCGATGAGCCTACCGAGCCCAGCTTTCCCGGTGGGCCAGGAAAACCTGGTGGCCCGGGCAGTCCCTTCGCTCCTTGCGGGCCTGGGTAGCCCTCGTTGCCAGGGCTGCCTTTCTGTCCAGCAGGGCCTGCAGAGGCAGCATCAAGGACATCAAGGACATCAACATCGCGACTCTTACCGTCATCGCAATCATCAGCAGCAGCATCGCGACTCTTACCATCCCCACAATCATCAGCAGCAACATCGCGACTCTTACCATCCTCGCAATCATCAGCAGCAACAGCGGTATCGTGGTCATCAGTGACAACTTCATGGCTGTCATCAGCAGCAGCAGCATTTACATGGCTACCATCACCATTAGCAGTAGCAGCAACATCTTCATGGCTACCATCAGCCGTAGCAGCAACAACATGGATCCTGTCAACAGCAACCAAATCTAAGGTGTCAACAATAGCAAGTGTACAAAACAGAACATTTGAATCAAGATTAAAGGTAAGCTACAGAGGGAAGGGGCAGGGTGTAGAGATGTGGGAGGGGGTGGGGGGGGGGTCTCGACAGGAACAAGAAAACGAACTGTGCTGAACTTTTCCAAGAACTTCCTGGTCCGGCACCGGTCTGCTTTCTGTTCAGGTGTTTCTGTTCAGGTGTTGTGTAAACGTAGCAAAGAGAGAACTGAAATCTCAGACAAGTGGCGCAGAGGGCCCGCGTGTGGAGGATATCACTCGTCGGTTGTCCCAGCGCTCGCACGACAGTACCTGGTCTTCCAAATGGCCCAGGTGGCCCCGTGGAGCCCGAGATCCCGGGCAGGCCCGGGCCCCCTTGAGGACCAGCGGGGCCCGGCCGGCCTGGCTGCCCTGGTTGCCCAGAGTCGCCCTTCGGCCCTTTGAGTCCCGCCTGCCCTGCAGTGCCGTCGTTCCCTGTGCGCGGTAAGTTTTGTTTCGTGACATTAGTGATGAAAAATAACGGTCAAACTTGGAGTAATTGTTTAAGCCTGCTTGATATGTATGCTGAACTTATTTCGCACCGTACGTAGCCAACTGTGCTAATCGGAGATGCGGGGGATGGACAACAAACTAAACACACAATGCAGTTCTTCAGAAATGGTCTAGAAAGCCAACTGGCTGATGGACGAAAGCGTTTACCGACGCTGCTCCGCAGAAACACATGAGTTTGTGTTTTTCCCCTCCGCCAACGATCACTATGACTAATACCAATGGCTATGGTGAGATGACTGCAGACCAAAACATTTTACTATCCATCTTGCAGACAGCAGCCCACCAACAATGGCAATTGGCTATATATGTAAATCAAATGTTTACTCAATTCACTCATTATATGTATGTATATTGAACTTCTTTTGCACCATACGTAGACAACTGTGCTCACCCTGATTGGATCACCTCATATCGCGGGTGGCGGGGATGATGAAATCACACGACAGATGATGACGATGGTTGTCGAAATGGTGGTGGATGACGATGACGATATCGGTGGTCATGACGACGGCCATGATAACTAAGGCCATAACGTCGGTGCTATTCACGTCCCTCTGCATCTCAATCGCGCCGGCCGGTGCACGACACGTCCTCGCTCACCCTTCTGCCCTTCCACGCCGGGCTGGCCACTCTCCCCACGCGGACCCCTGTGGCCCCGTGCGTCCCGGCTCTCCGGGCGAGCCCGGCTGGCCCCCGCGCACCTCCCCCGGTGGCCCTCTCCTCCCCGGTGGGCCCGCCGTGCCGGTTTTACCAGGTCGACCGTGGGCCCCTTCCTGGCCGGGGAAGCCTGGGGGTCCCCTATCCCCCGTGGCTCCCGCGAATCCTGGCAAAGACAGAGACACGGCAGAGGCGGGCAGTGGCTGTTGTACTCTGCGTGGCGGTTCCTGGTGTGCGTGCATGCCGTTGTTGTTGTTGTTTTGTGATTGTCGGTTGTAGTTGGATGAAGGGCCCTCCTGTCCCAAAGGTGGACTCATAGATTTGCTGCCCCCCCCCCTACCCCACCGCTTTCCACCCCCTGAGGTTTCTGTGAAATGTATCGGGCTAATGCCTGGCTAATGCTCGATACATTTCAGTGTTCTTCATTGCAAGGCTCACAGGCCACTGGCGGCTCCTGGTGGCCTTTAGTGCAGCCGCTGACGTGTGGCCCCACGACAATACAGAACACGTGACAACACCACCCATCATCATCGTTGTGCTGCTGTCAAACCCCCAATGGTTTCAAACTGTGTGGCGGCCCTCACAGTGATGATGTCTCATCGGTGAAAGTCGCTCCTACTGTGAAAATTAGTGAAGAACACCGTTGTAATTGGTGCTGGTCCCCGGATGACTGGTCCCAGGCTGTGTTGCGATCTTTCTCACCCTCTCTCGTGTTTCCCAGCCCTGACGCTCTCTGCACCGACCGTCTATGCTAGAGCAGCATTTATTTTCATTTTCACGACGTGTCACGTGACGTTATTGCGTTGAGATGCTGCGTGCATTTCAAATTGTTGCAGTTGTTGCTGTCCAGTAGTTGCTCTGGTTTTGTCCAATCGTTGCAATATCGCCTCTAAGTTTGATTGTCGTGGTCTGGCTGTCGCATATGTCTACGTCAGTGTGTTTTGTTTTGGCAGCGTCGATTTGTCCGGCGGTCCATTTGTGCGTCTGCTTGCTGTGGTGGTATCGTATGTGTTGTATCGACGTTACGTCACGCAGGCTGTTGTCTTGTTGCCGGTACGATGCCCATCATGTCGACTGTCGTCTGGCGGCTGCTATTGCCGTGCCTCATGTCGCGGGCGGCAGCAGCTGGTCTCACCTGGAGGCCCCATGGCCCCAGATGGACCCGGATCTCCCGGCTGCCCCTGAATGCCCTTGAACCCTGGCATCCCCGGTTCCCCAGCGAACCCCGGCGAGCCCTTGGGACCTGGACACCAGAGGGAAGACGCACACCAAGAAAGGCTCGCACGAGCAACGGCCCAACTCGCGCGCAGTCAGAATCTGCCTGCGAATGACCAGGGAATGCAGGCTTAGGAAGCGAGGTGGCTGGGAGGCACAGCAATGGACTCTTGAATCGCGTCGGTGATCCTGCCTCTTTGTTGGATCATGGAGGTTTGCGACATGTCACGAACAGTGCTAGGTTGCGAGGTGGTCAGGAGATGGCAGTAAAGCAAGACCGTTTCACGAACTCACAGATCTACGTTAGCCAACAACCATTACCTCCGTAGCGCTCCATTACAGGTGAGCATCAGCACGCCCAACTAATGGTGTAATACTATAAACGAACTGGGCATGTTTTACTTCTTTTCGCCCAATATTTTACCCAAAATTGTCACGGGTTGAAGAATTCGTTCGGAATGCTTGCAGAGCAAGCGAGTCCCAAGGCCCTCTGCCCCTCACGGCCCTCTGCCCCCCACCCCCTCTGCCCCCACCCCCCTCTGCCCCCCACCATGTTTAAGAACAGTCCGCGGAAGGAGATGTCAAATAAATCCCTTCAAGTGACTTCTCGTGAAAGCCAGGGGCCGCTGCACGTTCGAACCCGCCGTGAAATGACAGATGCCGCTGGAATTACTTCGACCCGTGCCCGTCATGCCGAGAGAACAAAATTGTTGGAAGTGAACTGCGAAAAGATGACAACATGGAGAATGTAGCGCGAACGAGAGAGAGACGCGTCCCGAGGTTCGTCCTTTGTCAAACCTTGAGGTCCGGTCAGGCCTGGCGGTCCAGGCTCTCCCCTCGGAGGTTGCACCACGCAATCTTCAGTCTCTCCTGCCAAAGGGAAGGGGAAACAGACGTCCGTCGTCACGGCGACTGGCCCGGCGGTGATGCTGCGTCGAGGACTTCGGGTATCCAGAGCCGCAATGCTGCGAGGAGCAAGCGTGGTGGTGGCATCGTGTTGACGTTGTGGTGGTGGCATCGTGGCGGTGGCGTCGTGGCGGTGGCATCGTGTTGACGTCGTGATGGTAGCATCGTGGTGGCGTCGTGGTGGTGGCGTTGTGGTTGTGGCGTGGTGGTGGCATGGTGGTGGTGGCGTCGTGGTGGTGATGTCGTCGTGGTGGCATCGTGTTGACGTCGTGGTGGTGGCGTGGTGGTGGTGGCGTCGTGGTGGTGGCGTCGTGGTGGTGGCGTCGTGTTGACATCGTGGTGTTGACGTCGTGGTTGTGGAGTCGTGGTGGTGTCGTGGTGGTGGTGGCGTTGTGGTTGTGGCGTCGTGGTTGTGGCGTCGTGTGCAGCTGAGAGACTAAACGTCACCGTGTGTCTGGTAATGGAGTGCTTCTTCCAGGAGGCAGTGGAAGACGATAGTCTTGATCTGCTCTCGTTTGTCATGCTACTAGATCCACGTGACATGGCCTAGCAGCAGTGCGTTCGCGATTTAATATAACATTCGTAACAATTTGAATGTATTGTTCATAAATTAGCTTGTTGTCTTTCCTCCGCACCTCTGATTAGTAGTTGGCTCCGTATGGTGTGAAAGAAGTTCAACATACATACATACAAGTGATAGTATAATCATTATATGTAATATATGAATCAATGCATTGTTACTGGCTTAGACTACATATCTCTTTGAAAGTCTCTAGATATTATCTCCATGGATTTACATGTAAGGCTATGGTCTGTGTAAGTCTATCGGTCTCTTTGTAAGTCCTTAAGTTTCTACGAAAACCAGTGGGTCTCTTGGTAAGTCTGTGCGTTTATATACAAGTCGATGGATTTATAAGTCTGAATGTCGTGGAAGCAAGACACGAGATGAGATCAATTGACTGAAGCATCGTCGCGTGCGTAATCAACAGAATGCTTAGCCCATCGTGCGAGTGTCACCGTGCACCCCGACCCCGCAGCCCAGGGTCGCATGGCCACGGAGCCCCACGACACAACAAACGCGACCCTGAGGGCGCGCGTGTGATGACAGCAGCACAGCCCACCGCGTGAGATGGGGGGAGGGGGGTGCGCTGGGCGTGTGGTGACGGTGGCGGGCAACGTGGAGCCGTGTGGCAAGTGCTGTGGTGGCAGGTGGAGTGGACCGCGTGCGTGCTGTCGTGGAGGATGGGGGCCGTGCGTGGGATGGTGCGGGATATGGGGCGCTATTTTCACGACTCGAGGGGCACAGGACCTGACTCCCAATCACTGCGGGTCCCCTTCGGCTGGCGCCGTCGTGGGAAAAAGCCGCGCAACCCGCCAGAGATTTGACGTCACTGCTGTCTCATTTTCAGAGAGGTCTAAATATCCACGGAAGCGAACACGAGTCTCTGTCATTTGGAATGAAGCAAACTACCATTAATTTACGGGGACCTTTGGGGAGACAGCTGCCAATAATTTTCAATGACGTCCATTATCGCGCCAAATATTTTGCGTACAATTGGTTAGAGAACCCTGATAGCTAACTTTCAATTGCAACGCTTTGCTAGATCACTGAACAGGAGGGCGCAGCTCTGCTGGTCGGATGCGATGGGGAATTGTTTGATTATTCTATTGTTTATTCACCTTCGCTTAGAATACGGGACGCTGTGGGGTCCGAGGAGACTGCCCTGAGTGAACCTCGAGGGTGAAAATGTCGACATATATCGTGCAGCGGTGGCGAGTGGCCAATGGTGGAAGAACTGTGTCCCTGTGAAAAAGTCAGCCTCAATCCTTGCTGGAGGACGGCAGGCCAAACATCCAAACCATGAAGATTATAATAATACCTTATTTTATAATACATATATTGTACGGATAAATTAACGACACGTCACGGACCAGTTTGTCTCCGTGTTGGAATGGCAGCTTATTTCCATTGGTTAATGTAATTTAAGTTACATTTTAAACAGTCTATCTTTTATTTGGAAATGCATTTTGTACCAAATAACTACTAAACTAACTTGGCCCTCATGAGCCGGTCCTCCAAAAAGGTTTAATGCCCGGTACATTGAAACCATGATCTCGGTCAGATCACTCATGTGGCGGTCTCAATCATGGAGCCGTGTCAATCATGGAGCGGCCTCTCTCCGTACGGTGGCAGTGGTGAGCTCGGTGGGATGAGCGGTGGCCTACACAGGGCCCACCGCTCATCGAAGCATGCACAAAATGGAGGTGGGTGGTTGGGGGTGGGGAAGGGGGTGGGGGAGGGGTGGCGGGGGGGGGTGTTTATGGGAGGTCATTCGGCTGACCACTCTGATTCTCCACCGTCCTACCTCCCTGCCCCACCCGGTCTTCAGTGCAGTTACAGCAGCCCGGGTCACCTTTACACACGGCCGTGGCGACGGCAATCGGCGGGACGCACGGCCAAGCGGAGAGACGGGGGTCACAGGGGTTAGCCGCACCGCAGCAGCAGCGAGAGAGAGGGTCACGGGAGGTCACCGTGTAACGAGGAGCGGGGTGACCCGCACGGCAGCAGAGGCAGCAGCAAAGTTAACCGCACAACCAGCCGAGAGGGTAACGGGCTGTTACCACGGACCGTCACGAGTTAACCACACACAAGCGTAAAGGTAACGGGGGGTAACCACAGGGCTGTCAAGAGTTAAACACACACCATCGTGGAGGTGACAGGAGGTTACCACACCTCAACAGGGGTGACCACACACCGGCAAAGAGGTAAAGGGAAGTCACTGCACACCGATGTTAGGGGCACAGAGGGTTAACAGCACAGAGAGGGCCGATAGGGAACGGCACTCACAGCAGCATGAGATCTTGAAGCTCAATCACAGGCTGAACCCTTGGGTGTAAGTCTTCCATTTAGTTTGTCAATATTTTTGTACAAATCAGAATCTTTATTTATACTGGAGGAATCCGATGAACTACTAAGCTCTTTTTCACAGATGTCCAGTGTAAATTAACAGGATGTCATCATCATCATCATCAGCCATGATCTCTCCACTGCTGAATGAAGGCGTCCACATGGAATCGACATTTTGAAACAAACCAAATAGCTCCTGCACACGAGCCGAGCTGAGAAGAGGACGTACAAAGTGCCGTAGGTTCTCGTGAGAAATACGCGCCGTGTCTTTGAACTCCAAACTAGACACAGGATCTGCAAGGGCACCCTCAGGGCAAGGGATTTTGCCAACAGACGGTGGAGGGTGGGAGAGAGGCAAGGCACAGAGAGGCCCGTGGTCCGAGGGAGGACCCACGGCCCTCACAAAGCAACACACGCATCACAGCCAGGGCAGCCCAGCCGCTCAGCCCCCAGAATGCAGTTCCACCGTCTAACATTTAATGCACAACCAGTTTACGCGTAAATTCCCGCACCTCCCGATTAGCACGGGAGGCTACGTACGGTGCGAAAGAAGTTATACTATCAACAATGTTTTATTTTACAAGGTAAGGCTCAGTGAACTATGTAGCTTTTTTTCAGAGGCGACATGGCCATAAATTACAGCTCAATGAAGTGGCCTATGTGGGAATTGATAGCTGCCAAATACTGTAAAAAGTCCAACATACGTACATATAGAGTCCAAACCTGAGATCCCAGCGCTCTGACACAGCCATTATTAAATAATATACATTACAATTCCTTATAGGGGAAACAAACACTAACTGATTACAAACGTAGCATAATTACAATAAAACACATTACAACTGATTACTAATCTACAACTCGCATCGTAACAACTGCCTGATTACCAATCTAGTATATGATTACAATAACCCACCCGCTCCGCCTCAAATCGTTGCACCTGATGAGTTGATGAGTTAATGATGACGTCACCCTGCTGCTGCTCTATTGAAGACCGGGAGCCAGAGCAGAGCCTCACCATTCTGGCGAATTGCCCGATGATGCTAGATGCAATTACCAGCGAAACGTCGTACTGCTCAAAAATTGTAAATGTTGTGGTTTCACGCTTCAACACACCGGTGGGCTAAAGCAGTGAACTATTTGTCTTTTGTCAACGTGACACTTTTGTTGCTGATTGGCCGTGTCGGGTGGTGTAGGGTTACGACACATTTATAAATAACGCGATCTAAACCCAAAAACGTTGATTATGAATAATATTGGTCGCGAAAGCCTGCCACGTGTTAAACTGATTATGGGCCGGCAGGGTGGCGCAGCCACGAGGTCTAAGAACTGCATTGTGGGAAGGTGCTTCGGCTGCCCCCGGCTCAAAAAAGGGGGCCGTCGCGAGACGAGGGCGAGTCAGGCCGACGCTGCGAAGCAAAGCGGTCGCGTGGACACCCCGCGGAGGCGCGGCATCGAATCGACGGAGGCGTAAACCTGGGGGAGTAAACCTGGGGGAGAAGGTTACGTCGATCGCGCGGAGGGACGCCACGACAAGAGGCACCAGAATTGGGGTTGAAAATGCATCCCGCGCTGGTGTTCATGGACCGCCGATACGATTGGGTAAAATGTGTGATGGGGAAATCAACGTGTATATATATGTCCGGTATATATTCAGAGTGGCGTTTACCTCTCCATGGAATTTTGTCGTGAAAAAGTACTCTTGCTGTTGGATTTGAAAACGTCCAACTGAAATTAAGCGTCGTAGTATTTGCAGCTGTGTCTGATAATAATCATTTATGTGGATTTGTCTCAAGGCGCCTTCTACTAATGTCTCAAGGCGCCTTGTAAGAATAAGGAGAGGCCAAGAGAGAAGGAGAGCTAAATAGAATGTGGAGCTGTGATGGTATATGTTGCTGTTCGATGGTGTGCTGTAATTGTATGATGCTACCTCTGATGGTGTCTGTCTGCGATATCTGTAACTGTGTGAGAGCATATGTAGCTTTTTGATGGTATCTGTAGTAGTGATGGTATTTCTAGCAATTTCGTGGTATAGTGTAGTAGTGTGATGGTGTCTGCACCGGTGTTTTTGAATAGCTGCGATGTATGTGTAGCTTTTTGATGGGAGCCGTAGTGGCAATGGTGTTTACAGCTGTTTGTTGATATCTGTAGCTGTGTGATAACATCGATACCTGTGCTTTAAATTCTGTAGATGTGTCACGGAATGTGTAGCTGCCATGGTATCCAGAGCTGTCTAACCATGTTACAGAAAAACCCTAACAGAGCCGCGCAAGTCACACAATAGAAATTATTACAATCCACCACTGGGAGAGTCACAGGATTACTGAACCTTCCTCGTCGCTCAAACACGGCATACTTGCTCATTGCCACAATTGTGAGAGAAAAGCAAATTAATCGTTCCCATTCAGAGACAAGCATTTCCTCTGTGCACAGGAGGAGACACAAACCAGTTCGTGAATGTACGCGCATACAAAACTACGCTGTAGCACAGTTATCACGCTTGGCTACGTACGGTGCGAAATAAGTTCAACGTACGTACATAACAAAGCCGTGGGCACGATGGCCCAAATTCTGACCTGCCTGTCCTTTGTTTCCCTGTGGCCCTTGTGGGCCATCGCGCCCGGGACTCCCAGGGTCCCCACGAGGCCCCACGGCCCCCGGAAAGCCGTCGCCCGGCGGGCCCGGAGACCCGGGCCGACCCGACGTCCCAGGGACGCCCTTCGTGCCCTCATCTCCCGGCAGCCCTCGGCCACCGTCGCCCTGCACAACGACAAGCATCATTGCTCGCTCACGGTCTGTGGCAGTGGCACACTCTTAAGTGGCACTGCTGTGGTTGGGCTGAGTGTGAGTGGCACTGCTGTGGGTGGGCTGGGTGTAAGTGGCACTGCTGTGGGTGGGCTGGGTGTAAGTGGCACTGCTGTGGGTGGGCTGGGTGTCAGTGGCTCTGCTGTGGGTGGGCTGGGTGTAAGTGGCACTGCTGTGGGTGGGCTGGGTGTCAGTGGCACTGCTGTGGGTGGGCTGGGTGTAAGTGGCACTGTTGTGGGTGGGCTGGGTGTAAGTGGCACTGCTGTGGGTGGGCTGGGTGTCAGTGGCACTGCTGTGGGTGGGCTGGGTGTCAGTGGCTCTGCTGTGGGTGGGCTGGGTGTCAGTGGCACTGCTGTGGGTGGGCTGGGTGTCAGTGGCACTGCTGTGGGTGGGCTGGGTGTCAGTGGCACTGCTGTGGGTGGGCTGGGTGTAAGTGGCACTGCTGTGGGTGGGCTGGGTGTCAGTGGCACTGCTGTGGGTGGGCTGGGTGTCAGTGGCACTGCTGTGGGTGGGCTGGGTGTCAGTGGCACTGCTGTGGGTGGGCTGGGTGTCAGTGGCACTGCTGTGGGTGGGCTGGGTGTCAGTGGCACTGCTGTGGGTGGGCTGGGTGTCAGTGGCACTGCTGTGGGTGGGCTGGGTGTCAGTGGCACTGCTGTGGGTGGGCTGGGTGTCAGTGGCACTGCTGTGGGTGGGCTGGGTGTCAGTGGCACTGCTGTGGGTGGGCTGGGTGTCAGTGGCACTGCTGTGGGTGGGCTGGGTGTAAGTGGCACTGCTGTGGGTGGGCTGGGTGTCAGTGGCACTGCTGTGGGTGGGCTGGGTGTCAGTGGCACTGTTGTGGGTGGGCTGGGTGTCAGTGGCACTGCTGTGGGTGGGCTGGGTGTAAGTGGCACTGCTGTGGGTGGGCTGAGTGTGAGTGGCACTGCTGTGGGTGGGCTGGGTGTCAGTGGCTCTGCTGTGGGTGGGCTGGGTGTCAGTGGCTCTGCTGTGGGGGCTGGGTGTCAGTGGCTCTGCTGTGGGTGGGCTGGGTGTCAGTGGCACTGCTGTGGGTGGGCTGGGTGTAAGTGGCACTGCTGTGGGTGGGCTGGGTGTCAGTGGCACTGCTGTGGGTGGGCTGGGTGTCAGTGGCTCTGCTGTGGGTGGGCTGGGTGTCAGTGGCTCTGCTGTGGGTGGGCTGGGTGTCAGTGGCACTGCTGTGGGTGGGCTGGGTGTAAGTGGCACTGCTGTGGGTGGGCTGGGTGTCAGTGGCACTGCTGTGGGTGGGCTGGGTGTGGCTGGGTGTAAGTGGAACTGCTGTGGTGTCTGGGTGTCATTGGCCTCTGCTGTGGGTGGGCCTGGGTGTAAGTGGCACTGCTGTGGGTGGGCTGGTTGTCCAGTGGCACTGCTGTGGGTGGGCTGGGTGTCAGTGGCTCTGCTGTGGGTGGGCTGGGTTTGGGTGGCACTGGTGCTCTACGCACAACCCGGACACCCGTATCAACATCACAAGCTCGCTCACGTCGCCCAGCATCAGCACTGGCAGAAGTGCAAGCAGGGGCAGTGGCACCAGAAAGCGTGAGAGTGGGGGCCGTGAATGTAGGGGAGTCAGAGGTGACGGAGTGAGAGATAGGGACGGTTGAATGGGCCCCGGGTGAGCAGTGAGAGACAGCGGGAGAGGTACCGGCGGGCCCTTGGGTCCTGGTCGTCCCGGCATTCCGTCTCGCCCCTTCAGGCCGGGCTGCCCTGGGAATCCGTCCTCTCCCGAGGTTCCTGGCAACCCTTTCTGTCCTTGGGACACAAACGGCACGGGCAGCCAACGGGCGTCACGAGGGGCTCGGCGGCGGGGGTGGTCTCGCGCGCAACGGCCGACTGCGTGAGCGCGGCAATGTCTGCCGATCCCACCGGAGCTAAGGCCCCCCCCGCCGCTGCCCGGATCGCGGCCCCCGTCGTGCGGGACGCTCGACCGGACAATGACCTCGACTTCAACCACTTCTAGCGAGAACTGAAGGTGAAAAGCGTTTCATGTCCGCGGCGCGACTAGGAGGCACTCCGCTGCGCATCGGAGATGCTCCGAGCGTGATTTTGCGATTCTTAAATTACCGTTAACTTTTAAAGATTGAGTGAATGTATGTTGAACTACTTTCGCACAGTACGTAGCTTATCGGAGGTGCGGGGGAAGGACAACAAACTGAACACAAAAAGCAGTTCTAAAGAAATTCGTTTTAAATTTAGATTTTAAAATGCATAGTTCCAGTTGCTTGCTAATATCGGAAGGAAGAGCATTCCAGACGGCCGCAAAAGTGCATCTGAGCAAATGCAGTAGGTTGCCACATTTTTTAACCATTTGACCACCCACCGATTTGGAAAGGTGATCGTTTATAAAGCGATGGATTTATATAAAAGTTTTTTAATGGTTTCAATGCATGTTTATCTTTGTTCCCTCAACAAAAATCACGACGTGTTAGAAGTGTTTAAATATTGCCAGCCGACCGGGAGTGTTGCCATGCATGTGTGCAGTGGTAGCGGTGCGGTCGCCAAGTTTGATTTATCCATCCAAGAAAGCCTCGCTGAGTTAGTTCCACGAATGGGTGCTCGGTATGTTGGAGGAAACCGGAGAACCTGGCACAAGTGGCCGCCCTGCAACCCTCTCTGCATCACCTTCCGTGACCCCAACGGAAATTGCTAATTGCTGAGATTAATGAAGTGACCGATGGCATGGACGCAGAGAAACCGGAGAACCTGGCACTGGCAGTAACTCTGCCCGACTGCGGCTAAACGAACCAAGCTAACCCCGCACCTCCGATTAGCACGGTTGGCTACGTACTGTGCGAAAGAAGTTCAACGTACATATGTACGTACATACGTAACTCAAAGCTACATGATCGAGGGTCACAAACACAGCGCAGACAAACACTGCGGCCGTTTTAGCGGCAAAACACGTAAGTTGAACGGCAACATCAGCATGCCTCGGCGTCGTACGCGTAACGTGCCGTACGCATTTAACAACGAGTTAGGGCCTCCCAAGAGCTTCCCGATCACGAGATGTTACCGGAGAATGGGTAGAGAGCAGAAGGACAAGGGCAAAGAAATCCAGAGCAGCAGACCCCATGCACGAGTGGGACCTTTGGCTTGCAAGGAGAGGTATTAGACGTTGGGCGCAGTGCACAAATACCTTTGGTTGTTGGAATATAGGGGTCGCCCTTTATCCCTTTCAGCCCTGGGGGTCCAGTTCGTCCAGGCAAGCCCTGCAGGGGAAAAGGAGTCACCACCGAGGTATCGCAGGTGTCGAGCAGGCGGGACAGCCTTATCCAGACCACCAGCTCAAAGGAACTGGATGCGTACACCTCTGGATCGCAAGCCCAGTGTGTTAACCATCACGGCACAACAGCAGCAGCATCCCTGGGGCGCCTACAATGCACGAGAAACCCGAAAGGCTGCACTGGTTGGTTCGCGGCGCTGTGACTATTAAACTCACGCTGGGCCCCGATGCACCCGGCAGCCCTTGGGGCCCAGGGCTCCCTGCGTCTCCCCTGCCGCCATGGAGTCCGGGGCTTCCCGGGTCACCTTGGAGCCCAGGGGGACCGGGCGGGCCCTTCAGCATGCCTGGACCATCCCCATCGCCGCATTCACAATCCCCTGGGTCACCTGCACAAGGCACACGCAGTGAAACACAAATGCAAAGATCCCCCGAATAGCCTTTAACGACTGTTAATGAGCACCTTTGACAGCAGACACAGCACACGCGGGGGTGGGTGGCCAACACCACGCCAGTGCTGATGTTGATACACCACAACAGATTAATAATTTCAGGCTGAGTCAACCTAGGGGAAGCTGAGAACCGATTTACATATTCACCATTGTTATCGGTCATGCAGGGGAATTGAACTGGGTTTACCAGGTTCGCAATGCTGTATGCTAACAAACCGCGTTCCTGCTCCGCACACACGCACACAGATGCCCAGACGCACACACGCACAGAACACATATTGCTGCCGAGTAACACTAGCCCCACTGTAAAGTCCCGATGTGGTGAAAGTTTAGTAGGCAGTGAGGATTTGATAGCAAGGTTTGGGTAATTGGTGAGGGCGTGATAAGTGGTTTAGGAGGTAGCAAGTTTGTTTATACAGGAGCTCCTCTACTTCCAAACTAGTTAGGTTCTGGAGATCTTGTTCGTAAGCCGATTTGTTCCTAAGTTCATGTCGATTCCAAACACGTTGTACGGCGTGTACACTAAACACAAATGGCTTAAAAGTTGTGTAATCTCCTGCAGATGTAGATGCCACTGGTTCTTCATGTTCTGCAGAAGCAGATGCCACCACCGCCATCTATTGCGCGGCGTTGAACTTACGACTGTCGGTTCGAACAGGCAACCGGACACGCGGACAGGTTTGTTCGTATCTCTTAAAGTTTGTAAGTCGGATGATCGTAAGTCGGATGACGCTGTAAATCTTGACGGTTTGTTACCTGTGAGCCCCTTCATTCCAGGGTGGCCACCGGGTCCGCTCGCGCCAGGGCTGCCGGGTGCACCAATGAGCAGAGTGATGTTCGTGTTATCTCCTGGAACAGATCACAAGCGGCCGGACAGGGTGTGGCAGAACCAGGAGATTTCTGCTCAGCTTGAGACCACAACCACCAAACACCACCACAGCCATCGCAGCTTGGGTCATCACTCATCACACATCACCGCGATCGTCATGTATATAAGAATGACGATAATAAAAACAGAAACTATTCAGTTTTTCTAAATTGCTAGTTACTCAACATGGACCCTGATGATGCTTGGAAACCCGAATTGAGTTCACAAGAAGTCACAAACGTCTTACGAAAGACCTGACACAGAAGATCCCTGATTTTGGTCTTCCACAATAATTCTGGAGCCACAACCTCAAAACCGCATGCGCACACAAACCATAGCAGATGCGGATACTCGATGCACAAATAGAAAATAAAAAAACTGTCCGGTGGTGCGACTGTGGTGACCGTAAACAGCCAACGGAAGGTAGAACGTGGACTCAATGCCCGATTCACAAACACGGAGGAGTCATCGTCATGGCAGCGATGCACCACTCCGCTACTCCCGATGCAATCGTTCGGCTCGCCCACCTCAACGTACAATGAGAGTTGTTGCTCTCCATCAACACTGGCCACACGAAGAAGAAACTCCACGGACAAAACCTTTCTTCGATAACTCAGTGATTTCACTTCCTTCTCAATGAAACCCCCGGCGGAGGTGCTGAGCATGAGAAGAATCCCCGCACGCCACGAGCTGCCGTGCTCACCTGGTATGAAGAGGCCGGGCAGGCCCGCCGGGCCAGGCAAACCGGGCTCTCCGGGGAGGCCGTCTCTGCCCGGCAGACCCGGCAATCCGTAGCCGGGCCGGCCAGGGTCACCCTTCTCCCCCGTGTAGCCGGGCGTGCCGAAGATTCCAGGCAACCCCTTCGGGGCTGAAACACAACGAGTGCGGGCAGCAGGCACGGCGGGCTAAAGGGTGCTGGTGATGTGAACTGAGCGAAAATGAGCCAGCTTCACCGATTGGTCCATTGGTGTTTGGCGAACATCGGATTGTTTGCGCGATCAGTTGGCGTGTGGTGTTGGACTGTTCATCTGTCCATCTGGCGTGTGAAGTTGCACTGTCCATCTGTCCGTTGGTCCGTGTGTGCGCCGTGTTGTGATTGTCTGCACCTGGTGCGTTGTGTTGGTCTGCTGCGTCTGTGCGCTGTGCCATCCTTACTAAGTGCACTCAAACAGAACTTTCCCCAACAGTCTTTGTAAGGCTATATACGGGATATATGGGGCCTGTGGTGTGTTGTTATAATATGTCCATCTTTCAGGTTGGGGTGTTGTAAACTGGCTGTCTTTTGCGTGTGTGTTTGGCCTGCCGTGATGACCGACCTATCCATCTGTTTGTCTCGCAGACTGCCTGACCAGATGGTATGTTGTAACAGTCCGTCTCTCTGTCTGTTTGGCATGTTCTCATGGCATCCCTGTGTGGTCGGTCTGCTGTGATGCCCCATCTGTATGTCCGTGTGGTTGGTCAGCTGCCGACAGTTTATCCGCCTCTCTGTCTCTCTGTCCGTCCGTGTGGTCGGTGTGCCGTGATGGTCGATTTGTCCGCGTGTCTATGTGGCTGCCATACCTGGGCTAAAGGCTGGGGGGCCAGGTAGGCCAGGGTTGCCTGGTGGGCCCCGGAACCCTGCCTCCCCCTGTAGTCCAGTGGGGCCCTTGGGACCCGGTTCTCCCGTCTGGCCTGTAAAGCAAAGCAGCCAAACAGCACTCCCATACCTCACCAATCCAGCACAACAAAAAGACAACAGAGCCCTGTGTAGGCTGTAACAACACGGACACACAGAAACGCACGCACGCACACGACCACTTCACTACTCCCTAAGGCCTGCCCTGGATGAACATTGGGGATATCGCAGCCCTTACCTGTGTGAATAGAGGACTCCTGCATGCACGGGTCAGTGTGAATAGGGGACCCACCGCTGCTGCTCTGTATGAACAGAGGACCCAACATCGGCATGCTGGAATAGAGGACGCGACACTGATGTGTTCGAATAGAGAGGCCGACGCTGACCTGTTCGTATCGAATCCTGTCCTGTGATGTAGGTTGTGGGTCCAGGAGCGCCTTCAGTCCCTCGGTCCCCCTGCGAGGAACGACCACGAAGCCACGTGAACGAGCTCTTAGTCCCACGTAGAGTCCCCCTGTTCAGTACGATAACCTCCAAGCAACCCTACCTCCGTTTGCTCTCACGTTGCCAAAAAGCTCTGCCATCAGCGCCAACCAAACGTGTTGCTGGAGATACCCCACGAGACGTGATGAACAAGACACAAATCCGCGGGTCGAGAATGTAAAATTATGAGCTCTTTCGTGGTTAATGACGATGAACTGATGGTCCTTTGTGAATGCTGTCGAAAGTGTCCGCGGCAACCACTGTGGTGTGGTACGTGGCGCTGGCGGCTCGTGTTCGTACCTTCACCCCGGGTTTTCCGTCTTTACCCGGGACTCCGGGGACACCGCTGACACCCTTGGGAGACACGAGAGACAGATGAGCGACGAGCGTTGCTGAGAGCGGAGCCGCCGCGACGCCAGCGTTATTCTGAATGTAAAAGCCTCAACACTTGTGAAAGGTGGACGCCGCTTTTATTTCAAACGTCTTGCATTTCTAAACATTACTATTCACTCCAAATTACAATAGTATGGACGCATTTGACCTTGGAGCAGCTTGTAGCGTGGCCTGTTTAAACACACTGTAGATTTTGTTTTGCCTTTTTCATGACCATTGCTGAGCACAGGCCCAGAGGCCCAAAAGCCAAAAATGTCGAGCGCTATTAGTCTGTTAGTGCGCCGCATTTTAAGGCATTTCCGACTGTTCAAAGTGTTCAACAGGCACGGCACGGACGCATTAGAATTAATGTTCATGTCTTTTAAAGCAATCCTGGCTGTTTAACAACGTAATTGCCTTGACCATGATTGTTGCTGTTCCCCCCCCTGTACCCATGAAATCCACCCTGGGATTACAGTGAACTTGTTTCGTAGGCTGACTCCTCACATGAGTCACCTACCTACCCAGTGCGACGAGAGTGACTCAGGGAAATGCTGTGACCGCCAGACTGACTCTCTTGGAGAACTGCTCAATTTTTTTTTACAATTTATTTTCTTTTATTCTACCATGTAAGGCCCACTGAGCTATACAGCTTTTTTTCAGAATTAACCTGGCCACAAATGATATCTCAACGAAGTGGCTTATCGAGTAGAAATGTATAGCAGCCAAATATCGCAAACGCGTGTTGAATCTAAATGTGGAGGGGAAAAACCGGAGGACCTAGAGAAAAACCCGTGCAACCGCTGGGGTAGAGAGACACGCAGACTCCAAATATACAGCAGCAGGCGTCAGGGTCAGTGTCGAACCCACGAGCTCCTCCATACCAGGCGATCTAGTTAACATCTCTCCACCGTGGTGCCCCATCATGCTCCATTATCAAAGAGGGCATTGCCTTTTTTGCAACATTGTGCCCTTCCCAGTCCCTCCTCTGGATACAGGACTGCATCTGAACGGGGAGGAGGCTGTCATACAAGATGATGGCAAGTGCTTTTTATTCGGATGAGTTATCTTTAAACATGGAGAGGGAAGATGATCCTACCCTTTGGCCAGGTAAGCCAGGAGGTCCATCGAGACCATTTTCTCCCTGTGAAACACACGCACACACACACACGTGATTGTGACAAGCATCATACTGAATGTTCTTGGTTCTTTCGGTAAAGTCACGTAGAAGGGAAATAATAAAATAATAAAATAAAACTTAATAAAAATAATTCTCACGACGTTTTGGCCACAACGCAAGCAGCCATCCTCAGGTGAAGAACAGGGCTGTCATTCGGACGCTGTCTTTCCGACAGACCTGTTCTTCACCTGAGGACGGCTGCTTGCGTTGTGGGCGAAACGTCGTGAGAATTTTATTTTATTCTGTTTTCTTTTTATTATTTTATTATTTCCCTTCTACGTGACTTTACCGAAAGAACCAAGAAGATGAATCCCTGCAGTCACGAAAGCTTTAAATCGAAATTTATACTGCATGTTATGCCGTTCATATGTTTACACCCTTTTCCACTGGCAGATCCAAGCCAAGCCAGCGCCAGGTCATTGAGTGTATGCATGCAGGTGAATGTGCATTAGTGCAGCAGATGTGAATATACAGCTGAGTGTGGCTGAGAGCCAATGAGCATGGCTGAGTGCGGGTGAGCGTTGGTGAGTGCTGGTGACTGGCTGAGTGCGGTTGAGTGTGGCTTAGTACGGGTGACTGGCTTAGTACGGGTGACTCTGGCTGAGTGCGGGTGAGCCTGCAGCAGTGAGGCATGTGGGCAAAGTCTCTGCTGCACTCACCCTGGACCCCGGCAGCGCCATGATTCCCTTCTCTCCCTTCCCACCGGCAGCACTCGGAGGACCCTGTTGCAACGAGATGACATCCCGGCTTAGTGATTACAGGCGGCAAACAATCGTGATGCGCATAATCACATAAATGCCTTTATTTATCCAGCAAAGCCGGAGAGTTGGCACCTACTTCGTGTGCAAGCTCTAGAAAACTTTCACTCGCTTTCCCAGACATCTCGCTTTCAAGCAGACTTGCTCACTTGGCTTGCAAACTCATTCACTCACAAACCCACTTGCTGTCGTAACTCACACAGTGTCCTACTCACTGGGCATGGCAATAACCAGGTGCGGTGGTTCACGCACTCGATCCAGAACTCTAGAGGCACGGGATTGGTGGCTCGCATAGATAATTAGCGAAACCCGTTAAGCTGAAATTGCCAGCGCAGCAAACGGGTTGTCCAACGTTTCAACTGCTGCACATGTTTCCTGGAAACATATATGCGCCCTGGAATGATGTATGCATCCCGGAAACGTATATTTCGACCGCTAATGGGCTACTCACGTCAGGACCAGGTTCTCCGATCTTTCCAGGTAAGCCCTGGGCTCCCGCCTCTCCCTGTTGGGAAACAAAATGGGAGCATTGATGATGATGATGTTGATGACGATGGTGCGGGTGGCAGGGAGGGTGAGACGGAGAGGGACATACAGCAGACAGTAGACACAGGCGGGGTTAGGTTGTTAGGCGCCAAGGCAACAGTCAATTCCAAATCGCGGCCTCACTGTCTCATCGAGATCACCGCTCCATGCAAATAACACAACACAGTCTTGTACGTCACACACAGCTCCCTCCTTCATCCACGGCTCTCTCATCTCTATCCTCAGCGTTCTCTCTCTTCATCCACAGCTCTCTCCTCCCGTCACTCCTCCTACCGTGCCTCCTTATCTCCAGCCACCAATCCCCTTCCTTCATACCGCGACGTTACTCCTGGCCAACTGGGTGCAGGGACTGTGTCGGGGGGTAGGGGATGATGCCGATGTCGTGGGGACCGTTACAAAAAGCACCGCGATGGCTTCAGCAGGAATCTTTATTTGGGTCGCTCGTCGCACACGAGGCCTGCCACGCAGCAAAGCGAACGCCTGTCTCTCGCTCTGCACCACGCCGTCAAGCACATGCTCCCTCTTACCTCCAACGGAGGGGGCGGGGCGATGGGGGTCTTGTTTTAAGTGCCCATCAGGACACGCTGCCCGCACATATCTGCATTTTATTCCTTCGATTGGCGAGCGAGTGACCGCGGCTGGAAAGCATTCCAGCTAGCTGGCTTTATTTGTGCGGCTTCTCACAGCTCCGGCGTGCGCTCGCTCAGCCTCCTCACCTGCTCGCCCTTGAAGCCCTTGAGCAGGTAGCTGGGCCGGCTCCCCTTCAGCGGGACGGTGAAGCGTCCGGGGGGCCCGGGAGGACCGACGTCTCCCTACGCAGGGGGAAGAGGGGATAAGGAATTGCTCGCGCAATCCGGGGGGGCGCTTGCTTCGAAGTGGGTGAAATGCTCGTGTCAGCTCAAAGATTCCGATGGCCCAAACAATAAAAATAACTAAACAATTCCCTGTCGCATCCCGCCGACTGCCGCTGCCCTTGGGGTGCCACTACCTCGCCTGGTATACAGGAGGTCGTGGGTTCGATTCCGACCCTGACGATGCCTGTATACTTGGAGTTTGCGTGTCTCTCTCTCTCCCCGTGATCGCGTGGAGTTTCCTCCGGGTCCTCCGTTTTTCCCTCCACATTTAGAATCAACATCACGTGTTTAGAGAATTTGGCTGCTGTGCATTTGCACGTGATAAGCCACTTCGTTGAGCTGTCATTTGTGGCCAGGTCGCTTCTGAAAATTAACCTTAGGGCTCAGTGGGCCTTACCTGGTAATATTAAAAAAATATTTTTACGAAGTTATTTCTCTCCTCCGTGGTCGACTAGTGACGGCGCTTTCCTTATACTGCAACATTCTACCACGAAGCGAAAATTCAAACACATTCGTCAATAGTTTACTTGGAGCGGCCACCCCGACGGTGGTTTGGCCCTCTCTGCGCGGCACGTGGTGAATCACAGTACCGGCCCTGCCCGCTAGGAGGCGACATTGCTATTGAGTTTCCCAATGAAGGGGTCACGACCTTTGGGGAGTTGTTGTGAGCAGGTCTACCGCCCACGTTTCGTGTTGGACACCGATGGGTGTAAGGCAGAGGTCCGCAACCGGGTACCTGATACCCGTACCCTACCCGATACCCGGCTACCCGTACCCGGGTACGGGTACGGGTACCCGTTTGCGACCTCTGGTGTAAGGTGGCTTGTCCAACGCAACGCTTTCCCCCCCACTCTCACTCCCGTGCGAGCAGAACGATTGGCAGCTTGACGTCGGCGGAAGAAGAGGAGGAGTTCGACTGCACCGACGTTCACATCCGTGCAGGGCAATCGTTACATGAAGAGCCTCGGAATAATGACGTGGCCCCGCGTCGGTGCGATTTCAGTGCAAATGGCTTGGTCAAGGGGGGCGGCAACCTGCGGCTCCGGAGCAGCAGGCACGGCCTCGTTTAAGGACCGATTCGTCACTGTTAATCACGTGCATTGGAGGCACTTGAAATATTGTTTTTTTTTCGTTTTTACCGAATTCGAAATAAATGTCTCCTCTTGTTATTTTAGTTTGCCCACCCCTGGGCCCCGAGGAGAATTGTGAATGACCCCTCGTGCCCACGTGCACCGTCTTTTCCAGATGTCGATGCTGGGCGGCCGAGGTATCGCGTGAGCCAAGCCTGGGGGTGGCTCTTGCACAAATGCACGCCAAGAAGAGCGGCGAGCAAACGCGTCCTCTGTTGTCCCCCGAGGGGTGTCGAAGGCAAACGAAGTGAATATTAATCGAATCGTGCGAGCTGCAATATGGCGACAAGTCTGTGAAGAGTGGCGGATCCGGGTTGGGGGAGGGGGGTGATGGGTGGTGATGGCTACTCCATTGAGATCCCGAGAATTAGTATCTTATTGACATTCACCAGACAAAAAAAAACCACACCATGATTTAATGTTGGGCTCGATTTAAAAAAGCTTGAATTTTCGGGACCAGCCCCGTGCGCCCATCTCCCTGGCAAGTTTCTCGATGCGCCTTGTCTGCCTGCGAGCAGTGGTAACGCTTCATATATAAGCTACTAACGCCACTCATATAAGAGTTTTATTCCGCGGCACAATTGAACGTCGTACGCGGAGCCCCTCTCTCTTGGCCGGCGGTGGCGCCGTGCCCTCTCCTTACCTTCTCTCCCGTCATGCCACGCAGCTCAATGCCACGGTTCCCCTAGAAGAATTGCACATGTGGGGCGGGGGGGGGGGTAGAAAAAAAACGGCGGGCCGTTAGTTTTACGCCACCATCGCTGGTCACAAGAAACAATGTTGGGGGAGGGCGGCCGGCACTGGCGGTGGTGTGGAGGGGGGGGGGGGGGTCGCGTGTCGTGTCTGGTGCGGTACCTTCTCGCCCGGAAGCCCCGGTGGCCCCGGTGAGCCCTGTCGCGTTCGGGGAACACGGGGAACCAAAGTCAACGAGCGGCAGCGGAAACCCGAGAGCCCACATTGCGAGGTTCAGCGATTACACCCGAGCGCCATTCACAAATCACACACGTCTGTTTATGCGTCGACCCGTAGTTGATGTACGTTAAAGTGGAAGCCGTTTAACTTATGAAACGCTGATAATTCGTTTTTTACCCTTTTATCTGGCAACAAAACTGACACCTTTTTTTTAAACAAGGAGTCATGTTTGCATAGACCACAATACCTGCGGTCGGAATGCAAACAAAAAACACAACATTGATAATGTATGCACTGTCCTTGAAATGCATTGATCCGCACCCGGGACAGCTTTCCTTAGAGCCTAGTCTCACATGGTGTTGGACCAGATGACGCCAAAAGGCGCACAACTCAAAGACAATGCACCATCAGAGTATGAGAGCTCGGGGCAAGTATTTACACCATTGGAACCTCATTTGCCAGTAGAATTATTTTGCTACTGGCAAAGGAGGTTCCAATGGTGTTGTGAAACGCTGCTCCGCGAGCCAATGCTTGATGGAGCTCCGCGAAGGCGAGTTTGCGGTGGCATTTAGCAAGGCAGCTCGCTCGATACTCACGGGAAATCCAGTAGGGCCCCTCGGTCCTATCTGACCTGGAAAACCCGGAATGGATGATCCCTGCAAGTATCAAACAAACAAACAAACGATAACATGGCCACTTGGATGTCCCGCATGGCGTAGGGGAAGGCCTTGGTACACCAGGCTCGATCCAGCAGTGGAATGGCAAAATGGATGTACACACACATGAAATATCCACCAACATCATCATCATCATTGTCAACCTTCTACTCTGATTGGCACGGTTGGCTACGTATGGTGCGAAAGAAGTTCAACATACATACGTACATATTCTAGATTTTAAGCTTTCGTGACTGCAAGGATTCATACTCTTAGGTGTTTTAGGTAAAGTCACGTAGGTAAAAAATAAAATAAAATAATAAATCACGACGTTTCGGAGACAACACAAGTCTCCGTCATCAGGTGGGACCGTCACAGCTAGATTTGCTGTATCAAGTGATGACGGAGACTTGTGTTGCCTCCGAAACGTCGTGATTTATTATTTTATTTTATTTCTATTATTACTTTTATTAATTTTTTATTTTATTTTTTACCTACGAGTATACATACGTACAGCCACATGGTGCAATGAAGTCACCAATGGAGAACTGCCAGTTCCAACTCCCCGGTCAGGCGCTCATCAACATCCAGCGCGTGGCAATGCAACAGTCCACTCGATTCACAATAAAGAAGGGTGGTGATGTTTTTTTTGTATTAACTTTTGAGTTAGTCCATTTAACGGTCTGGCCGAATTTGTGTCGTAAGACTCAACACCACCACCACCCGACATGGCTAAATGGATTTAAATTGCCACGCGGTGTATACGCTTTTAACGTGCCAAATGTTACTGTTTTTGTTTCAGCTCACTCGCCAGTCAGTTTCTGAACGATTGTCACAATCAAAATTCACCAGTTAGATCCGCGTAATTTCCTAGGGGTGAGGGAAGGTCACGTGTTGGCCCATCATTTCCATTGCTGTCATTTGTGGGAAGATAACTTTGATTACACAAATGGGAAAATGTCTCCGTCGTATGGATGTGGAATTTCCACAACTTGCTCAAGGCTTCACTCTTGATTTGAAGCTTTCGTGACTGCAAGAATCCATACTCTTTGGTTCTTTCGGTAAAGTCACGTAGGTATAAAATAAAATAAATCACAACGTTTCGGGCGCAACACAAGCGTCCGTCATCAGGTGGGAAAGCTTCACAATCAATGCTTGGCAAGGGTATCCATACAACCATTAATGTATGAACTAATTAATGCGTTATGGCTGTTATCGGAAGGTTGGTGATGATGAGAGTGTGGCACAGATTGGTCTGCACGTGGGGGTTGTGGTGCTCACCGGGAGGCCGTTCGAACCTTGCTTCCCACGTATGCCCTGCACACAGAAACGCCGTGTTACACAAGTCCCACGCGTTACACACGTACCACACGTTACACGGGCACCGCACGTACCACACGTTACACACGTACCACACGTTACACACGTACCACACGTTACACACGTACCACCCGTTACACGGGCACCGCACGTTACACATGTGCCACACGTTACACGGGCACTGCACGTTACACACGTACCACACGTTACACGGGCACCGCACGTTACACACGTGCCACACGTTATGCACGTGACAATACTGCACAGGTCCAGGCTCTCGGCTTTTCTCTTCCATCCCAGATATGGCTGACTCCATCTCCCCTTCCAATGTCTTCTATGGCATCCACGCCTGCACTGAAGCCCTCCTTCTCCCCACCTGCAACGCCTTCCTTGGCTGTCTCTGCGTCGCTTAATTCGCATTTTTCCACGACGCTGGACATGCGGTCGCGTTACACCATTGCGTGAATGCGACTCTCGTTGGCAGAACGGGGGCTCCAGTCTGCGAGGGTACGAACTCCGCCCCAGGTTTGCCAGTGCCACGCGCAGGCGAATTGATGACGAAATCGGAATGTGATGGCGACATTCGGGATCGTACCCGGGCGCTGGGCACCCAGCGGATCAGATCACTCTTCGAACCAGTCGGTGACTCTCCTGACTTGGAACTGCCTATGCCCAAGCCAGAGACTCACCTTCATGCCCTTGAGCGAAGGAGGAGGCGTTACTGGGTCTCCCTTCTGGCCTTTTGGTCCCACAATTCCCTACAGGATGGCAGAACAGCATTAGTTACGTGAAATAACCTAGCACATCAAGGCAACACGACGACAATTCCAAGTAATAAAAAACGGGACACGATAAATCCTCGCAGCAGCGCCTTTTTGCTGGCCATCGAACGAAAATGGTGACCGCATCGCACGCTTTCGGGTGCACTTCTGCGACCGTCTGGAACGCTCTTCCTTCCGATATGAGGAAGCTACTGGGAGCTATGCACTTTTAAATCTAGATTGAAAACTAATTTCTTTTGAACTGCTTTTTGTCTTTAGTTTGTTGTCCTTCCCCCGCACCTCCGATTATTACGGTTGGCTACGCACGGTGCGAAAGAAGTTCAACATACACACAATGTAAACTGAGGATATTTAAAAAATAAAGTCGTTCGATGGAGTTTACAGCTTTTAAGGCTACAGAAAATACATTTAAATTCACTTCGAATGAGCAATAAGGGTTACGATTCAGTGTTGCAGGTAGACAGCTAGTATAAGTATTAGAGGTTAGAGCTAGTGTCAAATTAGCCCTGGAAGTTCTGTAAATTTTACTCATGAAAAAACGAAATGCTGACATTTATTGGGGGGTGTTGATAATAATCAATGAGAATGGCACAAATATAAATAATATTTGTGCCAAATAATATTTGTGCCATTCTCATTGCACCAGGCTCTGACGAAGGCGCTACATCTCACACGACGTTAATATTCCGCAGTAGTTTCACAGTAGGGACGATGACGGCTGTGTTCTCCCAGTTGAGTCAATTTGCTGATATTTTTTTGTTAAATTGGCAGGTTGCCGGCACACATGGCCCAACTCTTTTTCGAACTTCACGGGATCGTCGACGTCCACTGTAAGGCAGTCAGCGCGTATTTACGATGAATACAACGGGGCGGCCATGGGGATCGAACCACGAATCTCTTGCGGGAAGCAGCAAACGCGCTACCACTCGACCACAACACTGCCTCGGTGACACGGCAGATGGACTGAGCTACGGATAAAAAGAGTTTCATTGTACGTGGGGGCGCCGCGGTGGCGAAATGTTGACTACCTCCCATTGTATTCAGTAGGTCATGGGTTCGATCCCAACACTGATGCCTGTATATTTGGAGTTTGCGTGTCTCTCTCCCCATTGTCGAATGGATTTTTCTCAGGGTCCTCCGGTTTTTCCCTCCACATTTTAAATCAACGTGCGTTTAGAGCCACTTCGTTGAGCTATCGTTTGTGGCCACGTCGCTTCGGAAAAATAACTACATCGCTCAGTTGGGGGCCTTACCTGGTAAAATAAAAATAGGATCTTTCTGGGCTCATTTTTCCCAGCGGCGGTGGCATTTGTATTCTGGCAGGATGATATCACTGTTCAACACACCTTTTCTGGCATAAGGTATTCCAACGGGTTTAAGGTAAACTTGGGGTGCTGATTCCAAATCTGGCATCAGTTTTTCTCTATCACATCACAGCATTTTTAATAAAAACTGCAGAAGAAAAATATCAAATGAATGTGAATATCTACATAAAATGATATTATAAACACACTATCCTAAATATACAGCGCCATATTTTAACACTAAACCAGTCACTGACTCGCAACAACTTGCAATCATAAGTGACAGAGTTAATTTCGGGTAAAATCAATGAAAATGGGGTATGCCGAAAGCATAAAAATGTGATAGAGCAAATCTGAGATCAGATTTGGAATCAGCACCCTGAAATTAGTCTAAAACAGCTGCAAAAGTCCAGGCCAGAAAAAAACAGTTTTTGTTGTTGTTGACCAGTGTATTCCTTCGCCACCGTGAATTAACTTGAGTAGCAAGAGCGGAGTGCAAAAACAATTTGGGGTGGTGGAACAAATTGAAAAGACACGTGGGGAGTGGTGGGGGGTGATGGGGGGGTAATGGGGGGTCGTGGGGGGTCGTGGGGGGGGGGGTGTGGACTTGCCGCTTGGCCAGGTGTCCCATGTGAGCCACTCTGGCCTGGGAGGCCTGAGTCCCCTCGCGTGCCGTTACAGCCGTCGGCCCCTGGGTGGCCCCGCGAGCCCGGCTGCCCCGGGTGACCCTGCACACGCAGAGCGGGCGGCCGCGTTATAGGGCCGCTCTCGCTGTGGCCTCCTCCAACAGATGTTCAAGTTCAAGTTCATGTATTAGGTATAGATACTCTTAGTTCTTTCGGTAAAGTCACGTAGGTAAAAAATGAAATAAAAAATAATAAAATAAAACAATGAAAATCACGACGTTTCGTCGTGATTTTCATTGTTTTATTTATTATCACGACGAAACATCGTGATTTTCATTGTTTTTTTTTATTTCATTGTTTACCTACGTGACTTTACCGAAAGAACTAAGAGTATGAATCTTTGCAGTCACGAAAGCTTCAAATCTAGTATTAGGTATAGCCTTGTGAGCCATTCGGCTCTTGAATCGGGTGCAACCGCAACAAACAAAAAACAAAAACATGAACAAGAAAATATCTTAAAGTGAATATGTGACTAAGTGCAAACAGAAAATCCAAGAAAAGACAGCAAAATATTGCAGAAAAAGCACCGTACACCAACGCTGTGTGCAAAAATCCCAGTGGGATGCAAGTCAAACAACCAACAACAACCACAAGACAACTTAGATTAAGGCCATCAGTCTAACTCTGTACTACAACAAACAAACATGGCTAAACCAATACACTTTTCGAAATCACCAAAATAAAGCCATGAAAGCAATGAAACAGTGATCATAGGAACTGTGATGTGGGTACATACAGCAAACACCACACACAGCACACACAGCACACACACACACGCCATGCACACCATACGCTAAACCCTTCGTGTAAACACTGCACAGCATGTATGCGCACGCCGCGCACAACACAATGAGCGCAGATGCGTACAACACACCCCACGCACAACATGCACAAGAGCATATGCTAACTCACCACACATGGTGCAACACACACACACAAGTCACTCCGCTCACACCGCTCCACAGCGCAAGCCCCAACATGGATACCTGCACCTTGAGCACCGCCCTCTCACGATTAGTGAACAGCCAAGGCAGGCGTGTGGGGAAACAGTTCCAGACTGTAAGAACAACAGTAGAGAAGGAGTGACCTCCCATTGAAAGGAAGATGATTTTCTGATTGCGGGAGCAAATGTAAAGATCGGATCTGAATCAGATGAAGTCATCCAAACGTGAAGTTGACAAAGTCTCAAGCCTGCAGTGGAATGGTGGGATGGAGCTACAAACATTCCTCTATTTACGAACGAGTTAGGTCCCAGACATCTGTTCCTTGTTCGATTTGTTCGTAAGTCCAAATTTACTCCTGTCAATTCCAAACATGCTGTACGGAATGTAGACTAAACACGGCGGCATGGCTTAAAAAGTTGTATCATCTCCTGCAGATGTCGCTGGTTCTTCACGTTCTGCAGGTGTAGATGCCAGCACCGCCATCTAGTGCGCGGCGGTTGAACTTACGACTCTCCGTCCGAATAGGCAACTGGACATACGGACAGGTTTGTGCGTATCTCTGAAAGTTCGTAAATCGAATGTTCATAAGTAGAGGAGTCCCTGTAGATGTGTGTGCGCGGCACTGTGTGCAGTGTGCCGATGAGGGTGCTGGTGATGCGACGGCTCTTACAGGGGTCCCGTGAATTCCAGGAAACCCAGGTACTCCAATAGGGCCCTGCAAATCACACACACACACAGACACACACACAGACACACAGCACAGGGAGGGGTGCAGGGTCAGACGGACGGAAGGGGCCTTAGGGGTGTGGCCAGGTGACAGCGGTAGATTGAGCGGTTCGCAATTGTAAGGTTGCGAGTTCAAATCCGAGTTGGGGGTTATTAATTATTCTCCATAATCATTCAAACAAGTACCACGTTGTGAGTGAGTCAGCAGTGATTGTCCGATGGATCGACTAGTCCCAGCGATAGAAATGTGGAGTCTCTACCGTTGGCTCGGGGTTGTAAACAGGAGGTGAACACCGCGTCAATGCTCACTGAGCAAAAAATAGCTTTGACAATAAATCGCATCGAACTGACTCACGGGGTCTCCGTTCCCTTCTGCCAGGCCGGGCGGCCCTGCGTCCCCTTTGAGGCCCTTGGGCCCAGGAATTCCCTCGGGCCCCGGCGTGCCAAGGAATCCCTTCGGCCCCTGAGGGCCCAGCATGCCGGGCTGCCCCTGCAAGACACACACACAAACACACGGTGGCACACCAAAACAAATTCCATCAAGTGTTAACAGCATGAGACAGGACTCAACCCAATATCATCAAATCACGTGTTCATATTAAAATCTAAAATCACGTGTTCGGTTTATTGAGAGATGTTTATAATTCCGCGAATAACTCAAGAACTAAAAGTGGTACAGGAATGGGCGACGCGTCGAAAATGAGATCTACAATTCAATTACAATTTACAAGTGTGCGTCTTGTTGTGTTATTCGGGGATAGCGTTTGACATTACGCTCCGGATACTGAGATCTTGTCCTCGGGTTTGCTGCACGAGTCCTGGTTCAGTTCCTGAAGCTCTCGGCACGCGGAGTTGAAACGCCGTTACGCAGTGTCGAACAAAACGTGGCACAAACGCAAACACGCATCGAAGAACTTTCAATGTTGTTTCCCAACTTTGGGTTCCCCCGCACCCCTGCCGTACAAATGGACGCGTCGCCAAACGTGTTTTGTTAGCCACGGGCGGCCTCAGCCGATTTCCTACACCGATATCCGAACTTTAGAAGCAAATCCTACAAAAAAGGAAAGCGTGCGTCGGAGGGAATGTTGCTTTCGCACGGAAGACTATAAAACCAACAACAACGCATCGCTTCAAAAGACTCGAATCACCGATGGGCACGATGTGGCGGAGATACATCTGCCTCCAATACGACGACACTGGGAGTAACATTACGAGTATTATCAATATTCTGGCCTTCGTTGTGGAGCACGGCATTATAGGCAGAGCCTTGGGACGGGCTCCAGCACAAACCCGGATGTGGTCGGGAAGAGAGCACGGAGAGTTTTAGTTTGATAAACCCCTGAGACAACATTATTCTAAAACAAGTTTTTTTTTGTCAAAGTGCCTCCAAATTCCCGCGGGCGCAGCCTGGGCCCTTATCTCTGTCGGTGGCCGTGAGCTGGCGGTGGGAGTTACGCATTGCGTACATACGGCCAACGTGTGTGAAATAAGCCAAGTGAAACACATTTAAAATACCAAAAGCCCTGCACCGAATCACGGTTGGAGGGGAGCCCTGGGGCAAACACCAACCTGCCGCAGATGTAAGTCGTCCGCGACCCCAGCAATCCTCCAACCTGGACCGAGGAAGGTCTGGACCTCCTTGAATCGGATTCTGGTGACACTCCCGTGGAAGATGTGGGACACTTTCTCCGCAAACGGAAAATCAACGATAGTTCATGTTTGTGACCTGTGGTGGTGGTTGTGATAAGTGTAGCAGTCAGCGCTACGCTGCGCTACGCTGCGCTACCAATCCCGATTCCTGCTCACGGCCACCAACATACCAGTGACGAACCGGTCCTGGGGCCTCCCCTAGGTCGACTCGGCCTCAAATGAGTACCTGGTGGCGGTGTGTAAACATCGCCACTGGGGAGACAAAGGCGGCCGGGCGTGATGTTGGCCACCTCACCCCCTCGTGTGCTGTGCCGGGCTTCATAGGTGTTCGCCAGCAGCACTTGCCCCTACAGTCTGTTGAGGCTACACGGGGGATCTTTGTCTTTGGTCGCGACATCTCAGACCGTGAACTGACCTCCCCAATGGAATCGTTCGACGGCGATGTGAAACAAACCCACGCGCCTGCTCCAGAAGCAGTCGGAATGGGGACATCAAACCTCGACATCGATTTGTATATTGGGGGGGAAATTCGATGACTCTCCGCCAATTTGTACACCGCTTTAAGCGTCGTGCCTTTCGTCTCCTCGTGGCGCAGGGGAATTCTCGCAGTGGTGGATTGTGGTGCACCTAGCCTGGCACAAAGCGCCGTGGTGACGTCATCGCTACTTTGTTGTTGTTGAAGACAACTTTAACATTATTTTGGTCGTCGGGGTCAAAAGAGTCCAGGGCGAGGCCAAATCCCGACACCGCCAGGAGGGGGCAGGCCTCCCTCGGTGGCCTCCTATGAGCCACGCACACCCAGCGTGTACAATAATTATATCAGTGGCGTAGTAACTACATTATCAGTGGTGTAGTAACTACACTATCAGTGGTGTAGTGACTACATTATCAGCTCAGGGGGTGCGGCAATCGGTCAGATGGGACTGTGCTATGAACTTGGGCAATCCCCGGTTCGATTCCCAACCAGGGCTAACACGAGCGGCGAGCAATATCTGAACCAGTTCTTGGGTACCGTATCGCGTAACCGCACTGCCCAGCAAGGCGAAGTTAGGCTAAACAATCGCGATGACGAGCACGGCAAGGGGATATCTTTATCCAGCAGTGGATTGACAGAGCTCTCAGTCAATACAAGAAGAAACAAAAGCGCACCGATAGTTAATTAATTTGCAATCTTATGACCACAGAAATCTTTTTTTTTGTTAGGATGACCATAATCAATGATATCGGGGAAACAATATGAGCACATCGAGGGGGTTGTTCGTCACTTCAGCGAGGCGTCTTTCGGATATAATTACCGGAGCAAATCTGTGGGACGGTCTGACCTAAAGAAGCGAGTTGTCTCAAGGCTAGCGTGACCATCACTGGCCGATTGTCCGACAGCATCACCATGGCATGGTGGGGTTGAGTCTATGGATTGCTCCGCCGTGTGTGGTCGGTCACCACATTCCGAGCGTCCTCAGAATCACGCGCTCCAACCGAGCACAATTCCAGCCTCTTTTGTTTCTTCCAAGGGCCATATGGGACAACCAGGAACACAGCCTGACCCGTCAACCACCGAGCAATGTCTGTAACAATCACTTGCATTGACGTTTGCTGCAATCATCGCTTGCGTATCGTGTAGAATTGGACGGGCTGCCGTGACATCTGTTATCCAGTTAGACGCACAATGCGCCGCTTGTTGAGCAATGAAGCAGTGCAGTGGCGGCCGACACGACGTGAGGACGTCGTTCTGTCATCGCTGTCGCGTTTCTGACACAAACCTCAGAGCGCAACACCCGGAAAAAATTCGATTTGAAGCTTTCGTGACTGCAGGGATTCATCTTCTTGGTTCTTTCGGTAAAGTCACGTAGAATGGAAATAATAATATAATAAAAACTAAAACATAATAAAATACAATTCTTATATTTTATCGTAACCGCACTGAAGCCCATTCGCTGGAAACAACAGCAAAATAAAGCACCCGATTTCAAACCCTAGATGGCGCTCGGTATTTCGTTTGCCGCGTTAACAAACGTTAACATCGAATTTAAGTTGCGTTTTTAAATGTGGTTTGATAAGCTCCCCACGCGGGGAAAATGTAACACTTCTATCTGCCCGTCTGAGGACGCAACATGTGTTTTGACGTTTTTACACAAACTATAAAAACCCCTTCAACCAGCCACGAAAGGAACTTCACCACGCTGCTCGCGAATAACAGCGCCCACCCAGCTCCTGAATCTCTCTTTTGGGTAATGCGCCTTTTTAAAGAGTGCTTCAAAAAATATCGAAGTTAAGATTTCTGTTGAAAAAGGCTTCAGAAGTAAGTTTGGGATGCCATCAATCAGGGCCGCTCACTGGCACGGGCTGATGCGCCGTTGAATGCAGCGAATATCATTCTTAAACGTTAGCCTCCACATCAAAGTGCTGCCACTAAAGGAGATGCACCTCCGAGGATTACGGCTGGCTACGTACGGTGCGAAAGAAGTTCAACATACATACACAAACACACCGAGTTCAACACGTAGGCTTTCGCGACGAATATCATATCATTCATAATAGAGTTGTTTTGGGGTTAGATCGCGTAAATATTAACAAGCACACTGAGTCATCCGTATGTGTTCATTAACACCACCACCACCACCACCATAAAACTTTGGTTGCACTCACTCCAAGCCAAACCCACACACTGACAATGAAAATAAACCTCATTCTTAATGACTGAGAAAACAAATCTAGCGCAGTAACGTCACAAATAGCGATCAGGGTTCACGTTCAAACACACACAGCATCAACGCGGTCAAGGTTTACGTGATTTTTCTTTCCCCGCACAAAGACGAGGAGTGTAAAGCAGCACACTATTTATATTTTTTTGACTTTTTTTTTATCCGCGGGGATTGCTGAAATGTGCAAGGAAAGAACCGCGATTTTTCCGTCCCAAATAGAGATGCCTTTGTGTGGCAATACAACAAAAAAAAATCTATCGATGTTTACAACTCCACCGCTCAGTGCTACCACATGTGCGCCCCAGCAGCCCCAACCAGCCCCAACCACCCACCCACTCTACCTACCATCAACAACTCTACCTGCCAGCAACCACCCACCCACTCTACCGGCCATCAACAACTTACCGGCCAGCAACCACCCACCCACTCTACCTGCCATCAACAACTCTACCGGCCAGCAACAACTCTACCTTTCTTGTAAAACCAGATTCTGGGTGAACAGGTCAGCAGTTATCTAAGCGAATATCCAGCCAGCGGTATTTGGTTTTAAAAAAAAAATGCGCAAAGAGATGATGGCTTAAGAAGTTACGACCTAACCTTTGACGTTACTGTTGAATACGTCCTACAATAGTCAACAGAAGGATTGTTTTAGTGCCGACATTGGCGACTGGCCTGGGACACTCAACTCGCTGTACTTGACTGAAGAACCCAAATGAATCCCTGGCAGCTGAAGCCCAGATTCAACCCAAAGATGCTCAGCTTTGCCAGCTCAGTGATCTGAACTCTGGTCCACCTGGCCATCTCGTTGAGACCAGAAGAACCAAACATGCGATTTTAATAAAACATGCCTTTTAAGTGACTTTACATACTGGAGCAGTGGCGCAGTAATTGATGCACTCCTTTACAAAACCAGCACTGACTATTGTGGTGAAGTATGGTCAAACAACCCCCATGCCCGGACAGCATGCGGAGGCCATCATGATGCAAATCATTATAAGTTTATAACAATACGCTTGCTGAGAACCAAGTAATACGCTTGATGTTTCCATTCATAACCACAAACTCAATTTGGTATTTACCAATTACGGTACAATACTGTAGTCCGTAATGCCTGCTTCTTACATTAAATGTTCCCCGT